TTGTCTGGCTGGGGTTCGCTATACTGCAGGCAAGACAGAAGATAGAGAGAGCAAAGACAGAGAGCCAGTCAGCCTTCTGAACCCAGCCGATACCCGACGACGAGTGGCCACAACAACCTGAAACTCAGCAGCCTGAGAACGGGTCGCCCACTGGCATACATGCTGCACTGGTGATTTTACCCACCGTTGCAAAGAGACAGTAATGGACTTATAGGTTTTATTTATTCAAGAGGCATTTTAGGACTTTTACTGTGCATTTTTATTTTTTGTTTATATGGTTATAACCCTTTTTAAAACACACTTTTACTCGTGGTTTTAATTATGATCATCCCTGATTTTAAAATAACCTCTGTGAGTCCAGGGCACTGTTAACCCCGGCCTTTTTAATTATCTTTTTTTTTTTTTTTTTATGTAATATTGATATCCCGTTATTTTTAAATTTAATATTTAATAAATTGGTTAAATTAAATAAAGCGTGAAGAAGAAACTACGGTGGCCGTGAAATGCATGGAAAACATGCATGTCCCTATCTAGAGGCAAGCTGTGTTTCAGTAGTTCAGCATGCCCTCATTGACTTCCACACTGCTGCCATAAGTGTCGTTTAATTTGTCGAACTGAAGTAAACTTGGTGAGATGGACCCTCGGAGGGCTGAGGGAGCGAGTGAACAATGATGGTCACTACAGAGGTGTATATCACTCACGATGCATTGCAGTTATGCATTTGGTGCAATGGTTAGGTGGAAGTAATGTACGTAAAATTCTGTTATTTATTTAACAGGGACAATCTACACTTATCAACATTTCAGTTTACACATCTAAATGATCTAAATGAGCTAATATTCATCTGTATAAAAAACATGAATGAAATTGTTTTTGAATTTAAATATTTCATTGAAATGAATGCAGGTATTTCTGATGATTTATAAAAAGTAATATAGTACTATAAAGAGAACTGGATACAGTGTTGGAGGCAATGCTCTGTTCATTCCTATGAAAGCTGCTCAGTGGCGCAAGAGGTCAAAAAAGCCATTAAGAAATTACCCAAATGCATGCGTACTGCGCACACGCACTAAATACTTCTGCTGGTCAACAGTCTATGGTAACAGATACATAATGATTCCTATATACAGGTGATTATACACTAAATGAAAATATACCTATGCATATTTCCTCCTTAATGTTACACACTGGACCTTTAATTGTAGCCCAAACTAAAATACAGAAATTCTTGAAAAATAAATAAAGTCAGGAAAAAGCACAAGAGCATTATACCTCTACCAAGGAAGTTATGTTTTTGTAGATATGCTCCGTTTGGCTAATTTATGTATGCACCTACAATTGACTGTCTTTGACTATGTATGTTATGATGCAGTTCCTGGAGATTTCTATTCATTTTTCAATCATTAGAAGGATGGATTTAGGATTGTCCAGCCTTGGTTGAGGTATGTGCTTTTTAGTTAAACACTTGGTCTGTTGGTACCATAATTACCAAATTAGAAGGATGGATCAGAAAGGGCACGGAAAAAAAGTTTACCTTTGGGATGCCTTCGACGATGCTGTAATTGTGGAATGATGCCACTGGGATCTTTATATAGATGTGGAAAATTGTCATATTTAAGAATTAAACACCTTATCTATTATCTTGCATGTACTTTTTCCTGAAAAAAAATATCTGACACAACTATAGCTAGTAATAAATAGAAATGCCCAGAAGAATTAGGGTCTAAAAACTCTAATACACATTCCAGAGACTAGGAGGACTTGGAGGTTTGAGGTTTTTGTGATACCTTGAGAGGCAACATATCCAAAAGTGCGAAACTGACCACTTCCTATTGAAAAGAAAAAGATAACATAAAAAGAAATTATCATTAATTGTAAATGAACTTGCAGCCCCCTAGTGTGTCTAAGGGAGGGACCCAAAGGTCACTCTCTTCTGCTGACCTATAAAGGATCCATAAAGGATCAGCAAGAAGGATTTAAATTAAGTTAAATAAATTGATATTTTGTAATTTTATAGTTGTAATTTTGTAATTATGAATACAAAACTATTTCAAAATTATAAAAAAAATGTACATGGGTAAAGCTAGCCATTCAAATATCCATTAAGTTCATTCAAATAAGCAAGGGCCTGTCATGGACCAAGCAGCACATCCCTATCACATATAGTTTTAACTGAGTTTTATTGTAATTATGAAAAATTATATATTATATATTATATATAGGTGCCAAACTAAAGAATTATGGGAAGAGTGAAATCTTTGAAGTGTAACAGTCATATGTTAAACTTTTGTGACGTCACCCATTGGTGTGTGGAGTAGCGTTTTGAAGCCTTGAGTTGGCATTATGGTCGTGACGTTTTTGTCAAGCCAGCAGCACCGACCTACTGTGAGTTGAGTTGTCATTTCTCTATAAGGCTCAATACTCTCAGCTTCTTTCTGCAACCCACTAACCATAGCTGTTACAAAGAGGTTGGTAGGAAACTTAGTTTGTTAAGCATCGATTAGTTTTACTAATATACTGCAAAGATGCAACTTTCTTCAACATCAGCGGCATCCAAACGTTACACCTTTTGTTTCTATACTCCATATCCGTTAGCTTGAGCGCCATTGCCTGAGGAGCGTTGTTGTGGCTAACCAATGTGCTGGAGTTCAAGTGGGAAGTAACAAATTACAAATATATCAGTACTGTACCTTAGTAGTTTTTTTCATGTGCTTTACTTGAGTATTTATTTTTCTGACAAATTTTGACTTTTACTCCTTACATTTCAAAAACTTTACTTTGAATGCATTTGAGGGGAATTATTAATTATCGCTACGTACACAGCCATCACGCGCTGTTATCTACATGGCACAGCGCCTAGTATTAACACAGTCTTTGTAACTTATGGTCAAGCTGTTCCATCCTTTGCAGGGCTCCACACACTCATAGACACAGAGAGAGAGAGAGAGAGAGAGAGAGAGAGCAGACAGACAGTCAGCAGAGAGGCCGCAGTGCAGTTTACACAAGTACACAGTTAAAGAAGTGATATTTCGGGGTCATCCCTATGTTCCCCACTAAGGTTACGGTTAGGCTGAGGGGCGGACTGGAGCCTGGAGTCACCGCAGGGTGGTTAGGGGGTTAGGGTTCCCCGGTCCCATACAAAGCGGGGAACATAGGACCCGGGGAACATAGACACGCTCCCGATATTTCCATCTGCTTTGTCCATAGGTTATGACAAAAAATAATAGTTATTTACTAAAATGATCTTGATAATAACAAATTATTGGTGCAAAATTACATGTTGTGTCAGTGTTATCGTGTTCAGGAGCATCATTCATTTCAATCAATGCTCTACTATTGATTGGGTTAGGGTTAGGGTTAGGGTTTGTCATTGGTCAACTTTAATCAGTACAGGATTAGCCAACATGTAAACCAGTACCTTGAGGAGTCAACAGTCTGGTGACGGCAAAACCTTGTCCTGCCGATAACACGTCAGAAGAGAGAGAATGTATGCTGTATGTTTGCTATACACCGTAATATTGAAATACATTATATTATTAATCAATTAATAGTGCATCTGTTATGTCTGATCGTTGCAGATGTGTACATGTGTCATACCTGTCCTGCCAGGCGATCCAGGCGGTCCAGGCGGTCCTAAAAAAAAGATGGTGACAAAAAATAATAGTTTTTTACTTAAATGATCTTGATAATAACAAAATTGCATGTTGTGTCAGTGTCATCGTGTCCAGGACCATCATTCATTTAAATCAATGTTCTAATATTGTTGCATGATACTTAGCAGTTTCACTGTATTGATATTCTGCCAAAAGCTTTGGCTTTTCGTACACATCGTCATTGGTCAACATTAATCAATACAGGATTAGCCAACATGTAAACCAGTAGCTTGAGAAGTCAACAGTTTGGTGAGGCCACCATCTTGCCCAGCCGATAACAGGACTCGAGAGAGAATGTGTGCTGTATGTGTGCTATACGCTGTAGGCTATACTGTATATCTAAATATATTATATAATTAATTCATAGTGAATCTGTCATGTCAGATTGGTGTAGATGTGTACATGTGTCATACCTGGTTGTGCTGAAAAGAAAAAAGATGATGACAAAAAAAAAGTTACTTATTTACTTAAAAAATTGTGATGATAACAAATTATTGGTATGCAATTAATGTTTATATTAATAAACATAACGAACCAGAAAATGTAAAGGTTATAAAAGAGTTACTGAGACTTTCTTTGCACTGCATTCAAACATTGTAATTACACCACCTGATACCAAATCATGCAAATGTGTCTTACCTGGAGATAAACCTTGCCTTGCTAAGAGAGAAATGTAGAAAAAGAGATGCTAAACACTATTGATTTTACATCGTGTTTGTTTCGTTCACATTCGTGTTACTCACCACTTAAACTTGTCCAAGGGGTTTGCCTGCCAAGGGGTTGACCAAAAGGTAGCCCTGACAGTTGTCTTTCACCTTCTTTTGGTTTATGGAGCACATCTGTGTTCTCCCCTTGGGGCTTGGTGACCACCATGGATGTGAGTGGGGTCACAAAGCTATATTTCAGTGATAGCCTCAAGGTCTCATTCTTCACGTTCTCCTTCTCAGGTCCAGATAACTGCAGTCTTTGTCACAAATCGACATTACAATGAAGTATCACTGTGTATGCTAACGCTATCTTTTGATAATACGTTTGTTGTATCTTCTGTAGCTGTTTGGATTTCCAGACTATTTTTAACATTAGAATGCATTAGCAGCAAAAGTAAAAACTGTAGCCTAGTTGGACAGGAGAGAGGAAAGTAGTAAAGTTCCGGATTCATCAAGAGGCTGAAAATTTATTAACATTTGATGTGAAGTGAATGTTGAAAACTGCAGCAGGATGCAGGTTTATTCCTAATAAGAAGATTACGAAGAGATAGTACTAGAACTGGCACATAAACTCTTCCACATAAATAGTTAAGTAGTATTTTGATAATTTTGTGTTTTTTACATTTATTTATTTCATTATTTTTTTTATATTTCGGAGATTCCTCTGCATACTAATAGCGGCAGTTTGCATACGCCCACTGGTACATGTGCCATCGTTTGAGAACCAGTGGTCTAAGTCATAGAGAAATTGATAAACATTCTCTGGTTCAAGCTTCACGAATGAGAAGATTTGCTTTGTTTAATTGGATTGGTATATTAAAATCTTTTGGATTTTGGACTGTTGGTCAGACAAAACAAGCAATTTAAAGATCACCTTAGGCTCTGGAAAACTGTGATGGGATTGAATAAAAATATGAAGGTTGCAGCTCTTCAATAAATAACTGATTACAAAAAAGAACAAATAGAAAAGATGGTCAACATCATGCTCACTCTTTTTCCAGAAGCTGTTTGACTGTGAGGTAGGCCCAAACCCTCTGGATGTGGCTGTCAGACATTGTTCCAGTGGAGTCCACAGTGGTGTTTGTTTCAGAAAACACCACTCTTTTACTGGTCTGTCACAGTCCAAATAAATTGTTATGTGAGTATACACAGGGACTTTCACAATCATTTTAGAAGATTACAGCTGATGTGCAGCGATCCTTACCGAAACGGCAATAACTTGTGGAGTAAAGGTTTCAATTTCGTTGTCTGTGATCTGACCAGCCACCACAATCTCAGAGCCATTATAATATTGGCTGAAGTTAGTCTGGGTTAGATTGTTGGCTCCAATATAGATCATTGTCACATCTGTCAACAGAGGAGTGGCCACCTCTTCATAGAAACCCTGTTGACATACGGATGGATATGGACAATGTCTCCACAGAAAAACATGATCCATTTTATCTATGGAAATGTAGCAACTCACAAGTATGCATAATGTGACAGAAGTACAAGTGATTTAAAATACCGTCAGCTGTAAATCAGCATCAGAGTCTTCATAAATCCGTCGTGCCACACCATTGTTCTGCAGCGACATCTTCTTAAGGAACTCAAAATTGACATCAAAACCAAAACCGAGACAGTAGAGTGGAAATTTGTCTGCGATAACCCTTCTTACATTTGACTGTATTCTTTCGAGATTTGTCTCCCCTGAAAAGAAGACAAGACGCGTGTTTTAAAAAGGCAAGTTAGACTTAGTAGAAGTTACAATGTGTACACATAAACCAATTTTATATAACATAACTATAAAAATTGTCAGCGTTATTTTCCATCTTCAAAGTCCCACAAGGAGGGCTTTAGCTCATTGCAGAGTTTTTTGAGTTTGTGTGCATGTGTGTTTTATTGTAACCTGCAGTTGGGTCTCCATCAGTGAGAAGAATGAGGATAGATGCTGAACCTTCTCTGGGATGTGCATTCAGCATACGTGCTCCTTCCAACACTGCTCTGTTAATGTCAGTTGCTGAAATGAAACGGAAGAGAAAAAAAATCATTACTGCTGTTCTGCTGTCAAATGTTCACATCACTTGATAAAATATTTATTAAAGCCTCACCTCCTCTATCAGTAATGCCCCGTGCAAATGTCTTGGCACTGTTCAGGTTTTCTTTGTTGGCCTGAACAAGTTCTCGTTTCCAATGAAAAATGTCACTATCAAAAGTGATAAGACCGAAGTGATCATCTTCTGCCAGGTCATTTAAGATATGAATTAATGCTATGCGGGTCTGGACAAAAACATGATTTACACATTAGAACTTTTATTCAAGTAATAAAACATGTAATAATATTTTTTTCATGTGTGTTCTTAGTTCCTGTATTAGACTAATTTATTACATTAAAATGTCTCCTCTACTAACACTCAAAAATAGTACCTGTGACATTTTCCTGCCATGCATTGAACCACTTTGATCAATGATGAAGACAACATTTTTTGGTATGGGGGGAAGATTAGATGGAGCAAAGTGATGAACAAAGTATCCAGCTGATCTCTTGGGGGGGATAAAAAGAAAGTTTGATTCGTTAGAAAAGATTGTTGAAAATACAGCAGAAGATAAAATATACATTTGTTTGTTATTTTTATTTTAGCTCAGATTGCTTATGTACAATTCTAATCAGCTATTCAAAGAACAGTCTTCCAGAAGATGTACTCTTTCTGTACCTTGATGTCTCCCAGTGAGGTGTCCCTGTTGACATCATAAACAATAACTAGGTCTCCATTCATACCCTGATCTCCACAGCCATCACATGTTTTCTGTTGGTCCTCTGTTGGGTAGAAATACACCCACGCCTGGCAACAGGATGAATCAGGTTTTTATAGACTCTTGTTAGACACTAAAATTAACAAATGGGTTTTGTTGGTTGCCTTTTGTTAAATTTAATTAGATTAAACCTTACTGTCACTGCACAGTGTTCAGCAATACAGGTACAACAAATACCATGAAGTGCAATCTGTTGCAAAAGTGCATTTATATTTATAAAACCAAGAGATGTGCACAAGATAACCAATAAGGCAGAATGTAGTATGTCCAGTGTCAACAGACATAACTTTGATAAGCAGTGTAAACAGTCCAGTAGCCAGTGCCATTATGGCGTGTTATATATGGTACAGTTAAAGGACCAGTGTGTAGGATTTAGTGGCATCTAGTGGTGAAGTTCCACATTGCAACTAATCGAATTGAACTAACTCATGCCTGTATCTGATGATGGGCTGTGAAGTGTTTATGAGAAACTATGGTGTCTGCGAAACTCACAAAAAATGCAAGAGCCCCTGTCTACAGCCAGTGTTTGTTTTGTCAGTTCTCTATGGAAGGTGACCCACGGTACATTTACATTAGTGTATAATCAATGGAATTACCTTGCCAGTTGCCAATAGATGCTCCTGAATGTTACACACTGGACCTTTAAACACTTAAATGTGGGTCAGCATACGATAGCAATTGCAGTATTGATTACAGATAATTCTGCACCACTGCATGATGTACCTGTTTATCGACATGTGTTTTTGTGATTGCATTAGCCATGGCGTTGGTGCTTAGTCCTCCTTTAACATCGATGAACTTGATGCCAGCATTCTCATTAATGTACACATCAACCTGGCATTGAAAAAGAAATCAAATAGTTAGAACCTCTGACCACTGACGATGTATTACCACAGCATTGTTCTCCTGGAATCACCGAATAGATGCCAATAGGAAAGACACACCTTGAAGTCTTTGACAGGCTGCATGGGTCGAGCATGGATCTGGAGCTCGTACTTGCCAAGCCTACGTTTCAGCAGTTCCTCATATGTGAGCTCAAAGGTGACTTTTTTGTGAGCAGCCACAGTCACAGAGGTCTTAAATTCCTCAAGGGTCCTCCCTACAGAACTGCAAAAGAGACGATAATCATTGCAAAAAGGCAGTGGTTCCCAACCTCCTCTGACTGGTAACCCCTTAAATTCAAAGTGTGGATATTAGTTGTGAGTAGTTCAACTCAAGAGTGATTTTTCTTTTATAGATTTCACAGAAAAAATAAACAAAAGTTTGTGCAACTGAGAATCTAATCTCTTGTCCCGATTGACACACAGGGCCGTTCTACAAAATGCAACACTTTATAACACTATAAGACTTGGCAAGAAATTGATTCCTTGATCGATGTACCTGACAAGCCCAGCACTTTGGCCACGTGACACAGCCTGAGTGTACTGCCGTTTAGCTTGCTCCTTAGCTTTCACAACACCATCATACTCCTGGCCATCTATCAACCTGAAGAAGATCATGGAAAAGTCCATTAATATACATACTACTGAGCAGCCCATGATTTATTTTCATGATACTTCAGTGTATAATTGTTTATGTGCACATTCCTGTTAAAATTTGCAGATCATTTTTGCTTCACACACATTTTAAATTTACTGATGAAGGCGTTCTTGGGAATCCGGACCTGGAATTCTATTTCCTTTGATACATCCATACGATTGGCCACACGGCTTGTGATGACAGTGGTGGCATAACGACTGTTCACTGTGGAGTTGATGTGAAAGCTGTAGATGTCCCAGTCGTCCTGATTAAATACAGGAGGCACATTTCACAATAAAAACTTGTTTAGTTGATCTCACTGGCTGACAACCAGCTGACCAAAGATCATATGGTGGTGTTTGTGGGTGGCATCAGTGAAATCTCATTGGTCTAACTGCAGAAACACCCCCATTCTGGTCATTTTTCATCCAGTGAATTCACATGGCAATCACTATTCCTTAACCTCAACATTTACCAAGTCTAACCTAGAATGTAATGATTAACATCATGGGGACCAGCTTGTTGAGTCCCCCTGTCCCCAGCGTGATCGTGTCTGCAGTGTTATTGCCCCACAACATGAGCAATACACATTCACACACACAATTAACGTTTTTGTGACTCAAGAGGACATTGCATTGTTGTCTTACAATAAGTCCCTGGAGTTTTACCGCAACTCAACCCAAACCACTACCAAAGTCAAAGTCTTAACCCTAGAATTTAATGGATCAGTGACTTTGTCCCCACAACAAGAACAACAACCCAAGCACACTCACAGACACACATACAGAACATATGAGACAAAACTAAAGGTAGAGAGCCAGCAGGTCCTTCAACCAGAGTTGAGTTTATCAGAGGCAAAGTTCAGTGTGTTGCGGCTGACAGAAAGATGCGTAGATACAAAAAAACAACAACAAGCAGATAGCTGTGGATTGTGGTAAGATATATACATATGTAGTCAATAGATTCTGATTCCTTGCAATCAAGGTTATTATAGTTAACTAAAACTAGAATAAAAAGTAAATCTATGTAGGAAAAAAACATTCTACTTAAATACAAACAAATAACTAGACTAACTGAAAAAAATGAAACAACATTGTTAGCTTATAAAACTAACTAAAATAAAAATGTAAAAACCAGAAATATCTTAAGTTTTAGTCTTTGTAACTTTGGTCAAACTTGTCAACACAATGAACATGAGGCAGGAGCCCATCTAGAGCTGCTGTCGAATGCTGTTAAATGAATGAATAAATAATCACATTTTAGACTAAGTGATGGGCTTGAGTGAATTAGGAAACATGTCCATTTCTAATACCACCTTTAGACATTTCTATTCAATTATTTACTAATGTGCTGCAATAATGTAATTTTTCTTTTGTTAAAATATTTTTCTCTACATGAATATTTCTCTAGATCTGTGCATGAGGAGGCATTGGTGCATTTGTTTAGACTGGGATGTCTACATGACTATGAGTCAATCTGTTTGTATTGTAATGCCTATTCTGAACTTCTTAAATCTTGCCCCTGACAAATACCCACATATTATAATAAAAAACATAAACTAATACTGAAATTTAAAAACAACAGCTGAACTGAAAGCAAATCATTTTCTGTAAACTAAATGAAACAAAAAAATAAAATAATAAAATAAAACTAATGAAATATACAAAATTAGAGTAACTCGGCTAGCAATGTGGTGCTGTGTCCTTTAGGTTTTGTGACCTTACCTTGTTTGGAAGGGTGGTAACCAAAGCAAGCAGCAGCCCAATGAGGGTGATTTGCACCACAGCTCTCTCCATGTTGGCTCCCACCAGAGTGCAACTCAGGCAGATGAAACAGTCTTTTAAACTCAAACAGATAAGGACAGCATTAATGTGTACACATTTTTTTCCCTCTCTCCTCTTTCAACAACCCCTGTACATGTGACAAAAACACACACACCCACACCGAAAAACACGTACGCACTTAATTTCCTACACAAAATAGAAAAAATACAGGATAAATAACTTTATCAGTAGTTCAACTTAATATGTGAGCTTTACTGTTGACATTGCGGGTCTAGTCAGCCCATGTTGCCAGGACTTTGTCACCACACTGAAAGCTTTTCATGCAAATGCAGACAATATTGGTTTGACAACTTCTGACGAAAGAGAAACACAGAGACAATCTGGCTTGATATGTTCAGAGTGCAGTGTGAATGAAACATGTACATGACTAATATTGTATGGTGTCAAGCAAAAATGAATTTATTATTTCTGTCTTCAAGTATGTACAGCTTTTGTGAAAGAGTACCCATCGGACGAGGTCAGGAAATGGTGGGGGAAACAGGTGATACAGCAAGCAAAAGCAATCATACACCTAGCTTTCATTGCAAGCATTAAAGAGATCAAAGACAGGAGTTACTGTGTAAAGCACAAAGAAAAAAGCTGCATAGGAGATGAGCTAAAAAAAAAATCTATATATCATCATGGAAGAAATTCTGCCTTTAAGACAAATATTCATTTCAAATCAAAATATTGTGCAAACATGGAAGGATTTTAGAAAGGGGCACTTCACCGATTTTACACATGAAATTCAGTTCACTTATCAAGAGTTGTACTACTTAGCCTGTGAAAACTGTTGTAGCCTATAATGTTTACTGTCCTATACTTCTGTGGCTCTGGCAAGAGTTTGAATATACTGAATTGTGGGAAATGTAGGTTCCAGCTTTTCTGGAGCAGAAAATCAAGATACGTTTGTCTGTTCCCTTTATTATCAGCCTCTTCTGAGTCACCCAACTGTATGAAAGTGCAATTCTGTAAAAAGCATGTTAAATTTGACCGGCCTATGATTTGGGAAACTGGGGAGCCACGGAAAGATCAAAATAACTGTTCTGTTAAGTTCATTCTTCAACTGCAATAAGCAATTTGTCGATAATAGCGCTCAGTAGTTTTGAAGTTTTGAAGAACTGACTCATTATACTCATCCTACTTCTTGACTACACAGATTTTTTCCACAGCTTTGTTTTTTGTGCAGAATACATACAATCATTGATGCATTCCACAAACTATTCTTCAGAGAGAATTGTAGAAGTTATAAAAGAGAAGTATTGAAAGTGAGTGATGTTTTTGAGGCCGTACTATTGAAATAACTGAAACTGTGATAGTGTAATATTTGCTGGAGAGTTGAGTTAGCCATAATACATAGAATTAGCTGTATGAGCCAGATGATCTTGTGAGGCCAGGATATAATAAACACAATTTAGAAAACCTAAGCATTGTACAAATAACATGTCAAACAGTGGTGGCTTCTCACATAATTCACATTCTTCAAGTGCCTCTAACATCATCATATCATCATCATTTATCAAACAACAACCAACCACACAGTAATCTCTTAAAAACCACAAAGGCAACAATATGTAAAGCTACAGATTGCATTAGTAGAGGTACGGTATGATTATGATTTTGACTCGTATGTTGAGTCCTTCAGCCCTCCTTGTCGTATGGTTTTCAGTGCCAGTTTTACGTAACAATATCCTCCTGTAAGTCACCACATTAACCTGTGCACATTCAGAATATCAATGTATTCATGCAGGCGGTGGTGCAGGTGGCAAAGCAATCCCATAATAAAACTTCAGTGAACAAGATTTCTTTTACAATCTGTGATATTTTATGAACCGCAACATGACCAGATTAGTGTTTAATTGTGTTTTGTCGTTAAATTAAATATGTTTCAATCCACATTCATTACTCAAATCACATAATTTACCTTTGAAGGTGAAAGCATATATAGAATATCTAGTGTCTGCTTTGAATCTAAATGCTTTTCTTCATAAAATTGAAACTGCAATTCAAGGCACTCTCACAGGTGTTCATCACCTGAAGATAAAATTCAAGTTCATTCAAATCTCTTAAGGATATTTCAAGCGCTTGTGCTGGAAGCATTTCACCGATGAAGAATGAAACCTATCCTTGGACTGAGAGAGCAGAATAAAGCAACCGGCCCTAGTGACCAGGATGTCAAGTCTTCACAGTGACGGCATGATGTTGGCTAATAAGGTGTTGCATTAAGACACATATCTGCAGCACCAACCTATGGATTATCTAATGTTAACTGTACAAACACGGGAGCTATGTACAGACTAACAAGAATTCATATATACACACGGCAGCTTAAATATTGGGGTGCTATGAGCAACACAAACATGAACTATTTATATAAACACAGCATGGATGAACAGTACATTATGTACATTCCGTGGGTGGTAAGGTACATACATAAGCAATGACAAAAATGTTAAGCCTGATTGGGCTAATTATACATATTTTAATGTACTACTACCATTATACTGCACTCGAGGATTATGTACTGTAATATGCACATGAGGTATGTTGATGCAAATGAAGCAAATAACATAAAACTCAGAAATGGAGACAAGTATGTACAAATGGTTAAATCCATGCTGGTTAAATATATACAGTGTATGCACATAAGACTGACTTGAGCTATCATGAGATTTCTTTTTGGTAACAGAATTGGAAGACACAATGCTACTCATATTAGAGAGTCCTGGCTTTGGGGTTGGGTGGCTGATATGATGGAGTGGTGCTAGGGGTGTCCTGGGCTGAGCGCACAGCAGGAAAGGCAAAGACTCCTGAAGTAATGGGGAAGAGAAACCCAGGCCCCTGGTTAACAGAGACAGGTGAGGACATGGCCCTGACTGGAGCAGAGGAGTGTAGCTGATAACAGGGATGGGGCCCTGTGGTGAGGCTGGTCATCATTGTTGACCCAGGGCTGTCAGGCCACGACAGGGGAAGGCTGCAGGCCTCTTGGCCTGGGGTTGTCCACGATGATACCTAAAAGGGTTATATAATAGGAAGATATTAAACTACAAAACAATGATTAACTGCATTTATATAATACATTACATTATTTAGGCAAACTCACAAACTATAGTACTGTGGAACTGCTGCCAAGTAACCTGTAGCACACTAAAAACTGTAAGCTGTACATTCTTCTGTTTTTTATGATTAGTTACTGTGTATGTGTGAGGCTACATTTGAGGACACATTTCAGACTAATGACCAGTTAATTGGGGACAGCTTGTTGCTCATTGCTGTTTGCATTTGGATATCTATGTCAATAAACTAATTAACTAACTAACCTTATAAGCATTTAATTGTAAAGCACACTACTTGTAATGAAAGAAGTATTTTTGCCAGTGAGATGGTAAAACACTGTGTGCAATATTGCTGCCGTGTAGGCATCACTTAGTAATCTTACAGTATGTGCTAATTAATATTCTTTTAATTTATTAGAATTATTATTTTTACATTAGGAAGTCGACTACAATCTGCAAGTGGGAATGCAACTCATGACAGAGTGATAGCAAATGATTGTATTTCCTGACTGCTGTAATCTGAGGGTATATGAGCAATTATAATTATCATAATAATATACCTATGTAATCATATGATAATTATTTCGCCAATTTCTCAGAAATTAAAATATTTTGTCAATGCCTATTCTTGTGTTGTGAAGCTCTGCAAGCCAACTTCTTATCCCAACTTAACTTATGTAAACCCTGTGGGTACATGCAAAACTTTATATTCTTCTCTAATCTTTATATACTCCATTCTATAAGGATTGTTTGAGATTTTAATAATTTCCTTTCTTATGACCACAGCGCTGATTGAACGCAAACTGGTATATAACTAGCATGAAACTCACATCTGAAGCACTCGTCAGTTGTCCATGTGTTCGAGGCACAACCTGATTCCAAAGCTGCTGCCCGCTGATGCTCAGAGAGTTAGTGCGCGGCCTGTGGGTGACAATAAGAACCTCTTGGGCCCAGTCGTCCATCAGCCGTTGCAAGTCTTCAGGCAGGTTGTGTTCATTAAAACTCATGGATGTGCCAATGTATGTGCCTGTCTTGTTGTTGCTGTTATTGGCCTGAGCTTGGGCTAGTCCCATCACTGGCTGATGAGAAGGTGGTGTGGCACCGGTAGGTGGCTGCTGTGATGGATTAAAAGCCCCTGGCCCGGCTCCAGACCCTGAGAGGACACACATACACACGTACTGTGACACTGTGTTTATTAAGTTGATTAAATTGATATAAACTAACATGAATTTAGTTGAATTTAGTGAGATGCTGTAATTCTACATACTGCTGCCACGCTCTTTGCCAAGACACAGTCGCTTCAGTGTTGACCCTGTAAGACAAAAAAAAACTTAAATCACAAATAATCCTTACCATAAGCTGGTAATAATGTTCAATAACAAGATGCGGTGCAAAATAAAGCTGCTGAATACTGCCACAAAAAAGGACCAATCTAAAACCAAACTAATAAACAACTTAACAAAACAATCAGTCCCCCAAACAAGACAGTTCATTTATCAGCAAAATCATGCAAGCGGTCAAAGTGCAGTGTTAGAGTGTTAGGGAGAAGAATAGGAGAGAGATCAGACATTTTTATAGTAGATTGGGGTGGGGCATGCAGGTCCATTGCCTAGTAATGCAGGGTGGATAAGTCATAAAAATGTTGTGTTAAAAAGGTGTTATGTGTTATAAGGTGAAAAAATAGCACAAGCTTCAGTAGGAGACACTTGAAATGTAAGATAATGCCCATTACTATTCAAATGAACCTTGATTATCCAAACCTCAAACTTCTGAAACAAGGCAAGTGTTCCAGTAAACAGGAATAATAAGGAAAACATATAAAAAATTGTAGTTGTCTTTTTTTGAGAAAATTGTGTTAAAAAAACAAACAAACATCGAATCAATCAAAATCTGTACTTCTTCAAAACATATGTTACTCTTCAGGGGTTTGAATAAGCAATATATTTCCGTGCAAGCAAAAATATAAGACAAAGGTAAGTCGTCTAAGGACGAGGTGAAGCAAAAGAAAACCCAGCAGTGTTGGAGAATAGACAGAAAAAAAGATATCAGTGAGCTAAAAGTGGACAAATAGAAAATATGGAAAACAAAAAAGTGAAGCTATGCTGGAAGAGAGGAGATACAAACAGATAGACAAAGACACAGGCCCACTGAGAAATCTAGCTCGTGGCTTGCTACTCGATTTATAGGTCACTCTCTCAGATGTTTGAGGGTAATTAGACCAGCCTGTAGAGGAGTATAATCAAAGAGGGAAGAAGACACCAGAGTAAGAAGAGTGCACACTGAAATATCCAGCTTTACTAAACAAAACACCACAAACAAGTGTTTGTTATTAATTCTCTGGTGAATGTTTACACTTTATTATTAGTGAAAAGACTGCTCAGCTAAGATGTTGTTTGGTGTGTTGCTGGTGGTCACCTTGTCCGGGTGGAGCTTGTGTGCCGGTGCCATCTCCATGTAGTCCAGCGTAAATATTATCAGAAGACAAAGAGCCCTTGAGGGAACAGGGCTGCTGAGTCTGCACAGGCTCTGAGGTCGAGCTAGGAAGGTGGCTGGTGCATGACCGTGCCCTACCGTGAGTGGGGAAAGACCCTTTGGCTGGAGAGCCATTTAAACTCACTGTGGGCTCACCTGTACCTGTAGCAGCACCTAAACACACAAGCATCAGAATGGTAAACTCCTAGCTCTTGCTGTAAATATTCAACTTATAGTACGGGAGATTCTGAAAAGGTTACTCACTGGATCGACTGGAGTCACTACTTTTGGTTGTGACATTTCTGAACTGTTGAACCAGAGGGCTGAGAAGTTTGCCAGGCTTCAGTCTGTGCTTGCTGGACCTCTTTCTTCGGCCGGCATGCGGTGTAACATGTGAGAGACCCAGGCCAGGAGGAGGGGCTTTACCAAGTCGCCGATACAGCAGCTCCACTTCCCCCCGCTGATTGGCCTGCAGCTCAGAGATCTCCCTCAGATGTCTGAGTGGATGGAAGCAGGAATATACTGTTCACTTACAAGCTAAATGACTAAATGTTTTCATGTTAAGACACAAAATAAGACAACAAGTGAACCACTGGCTATACATACTTCTCCCTGAGTCTCTGTAGTTCCCTCTTCATGTCTGAGTCCTCCATCTCTGAGTCATTATCGCTGCTGGCATAGGCCGAGCCGTGCACACCTCCATGCCTACTTGGGGAGTCAGAGCTCTGCACACTGCTGCTACGTCCTGACCGGCGGAGGAAGGCCACTGCCCTCTTCATGAGGTCACTTCCTCTGCGCTCAGAGCGAGTATGTTGGGATGGGGTGGCGGGAGCCAGTTTTGCAGGGCTGCTCTCAGCCCCAGAGTCGGAGGAGAGAAAACGAGCATGGATCGTAACATCAACAGGGACAGAGGGCGAGGTCAGGGCACGAGGCACAGAGCCCCGCTTGGCCATGGAAGGAGGTGTGTCCAGGTAGAAATCAGGTGGGGCAGAGTAGCGGCTGCAACGTGTCCTCTGTGTAATGTCATCTTCAGTGCTAACAACGGAGAAACGGCCAATTGTGGTGGAGGCAGTCATGGCCTCAACCTGAACGTGTTCTGAACTGTATCCTACAGGGTGTGCCGGTGAGGCAGCGCTGCTCCAGCTCCTTTGCTTCACATCTCGTCTGTTAGCCACCTCAGGAGGAACAGAGATTATCTGCCAAAAGCAAAGAACAAACTGGGTATGCACAGGGAACTGAATAATGCTTCCATCATGGCAAATGCAGCTGAACTACTCTGAAAGACAATTATTCTTTCCCCTTAAATGTAAGGAAAGTCTCCCTTTCGTACCTTAAATCGGCCTTTTGTTCCAGAGCAGGATGCAGAGTGAGGGACGTGTCTTCTTGACAAGGAGGCTGCAAAAAGTTCCACAACAATGAACACCGTGGCACTGCAGTAATCAACTAACGGTGAGACATAAGTTAGAAGTTAATGATGCCATTCTTATTGATTAGTGTCTGCTGTACATACCACACACGGCTGAGTCACTCAGTGTGCTCAAACTATCCATTCTCTCTGGAATTTGAGGCTAATAGAGGTGACAGGATGAGAGATGAACAAAACAGACACATGGGAAAACTACAATACAAACCATTAATCATTGTCCTATTATATACATATATATTAAATAACAGTTAATATTGCCTCAATGGTGGAGGCATGTTGACAATGATAAAAATAAATATTTCTCGTTAAATCTTACTGTAGCTTGTGTAAAAGGTGGTAAAGTTTATCTTCAAATCCCCTCATGCAACTAAAGTGCTCCGGCTCCTGGTGCCACAGGTGTGTGTGTGAACTGCTGTCATGTAATGAGTTAGTTTCTGTTCGATACTGGGCTTTTGCCAGCGCATCACTGAGTGAATGTTGTGTGAAAAGGGTTGAACTGTGCCACTCGGTACTGTAAAAAAAGCGCTTTGGGAGTTGGTCGGAAGACTAGAAACGGCGCTATACAAGTAGCCATGGTCCATTTACCATTTACATAGCATTGCCATATGTTCTTTGTACTCACCATATGAATGATAAAATGTTTGAACGAAATCAATTTACTGGTATAATATAGTTAAATACTGTATGTGAGGAGTCCTTCCCTACATGTAAATACTTTATAAACTGCATTATAGTTAGAGTATGCCAAAATATGTTCACTCTGCCATCACTCCCAAATGGGTGGACATGCCATTAGTTTAGTTGTTGTCATTAGTCAACACAGCATGACTACTTTTTCAATTAAAAGATTTGAAATGCACATAATTCACTTAATTCAACTTAATACACAAAAAGCAATCTAACCACAAGCTCCATTTAGTTGCTGTTTTGGAGCTCTCGATCATTCCACACAATCTTCCCCAGCAGATTAACAGTAAATACTAAATGGACCTTGTGGTGAAAGGATTCTGCTGTTTCAATGGTCAAGACTGAAACCTAAATCTTATTTTTTAAGCTAACATGGATGATATTCAATGACAAACTCCACCTGCTGAGAGAGATAGCGTGATTACCTTGTGGCAAGATTGTGTTGTCAGGTGCTGTTTCCAAGGTCAAGAATAAACTTTCAATGTCAAATGTAGGTAAATATACTGCACCTGTAATTTATATAAAACATTCATAAAGTTTGAAAGTTTACTGATAACTGTACTTACAAGTTGTTCTCCTGCCCTGTACCGTCCCTCCCCCATTGGCCCTGGTGTGCTGTTTCCTGACCCTCCTGTGGCACTGTCTGGACCGGGAGGAGACTGGATGTACTCGGTGCAAGAGCCTGGTGTCTCTGCAGCACTGCCTGATGGATACATGGGAGCATATTCTTGGTAGAGCAAGTTCCTTAGTTTCTCATCCAGTGTTTTTATGGTGCTGTCCACAAAGCCCCCACGGCCCAGCCGTCCTTCGCCATCTGACTCCCCGGGCCCTGCACCGTGCTGGGATGGTGCTGGGCTCTGGGGTAGTGAGGGCACTTTGGTCCCTCCCACACTAGAAAAAGGCTGGTGGAGCACCACAGGCTGCTGTGAGCGCTCGCTCCGTGCTGCAGAGGCATAAGAGATAGACAACGGCTCTTTGGCTGAACCTGGCTCCTGGAGTGGAAGAGGAGTGAGAGGAGATCCACCCTGTAAACCGCTCACATCCAAAGACAGGGGCATGACCAGAGGGCAACAGGGCACCTCGTCAGCCATAGAAACAGGACATGTCATGTCAGGCATCTGCTGAGCTGCGTGGATCGGGGAGATGGAGCCCAAAGGGGATCCCTGTGACTCATCAACTGGGAAAGACGTATGTGGGGATGAGGGGGGCAAAGTTTGAGCTCTGGCTGGCTGAGCCTGGTGAACGCTGGGCTGCACAGAGCTGCCGACAGGCTCCGCTGATGACACTGACTGAAGGGTCGGGGGAGCAGACACAGGGGGAGACAGAGTAGCCAAGAGAAGAGGGTCTGTGTTGGACATTATCGGAGGGCTACAGAATCCATACACATCGTATGTGAAGCCTCCACTTCCACCAGACATTGTGGAGGATGATCCCTCTTCTGCAGGAGGAAAAACATGACGTTAGAAAAATAAGTTTAAAATAAAGATTTATGTTTAACCTTTTCTTAAGTAATAATTGCACACAAAGGGCTGTAGGATGTCTTTCATTCAGCACCACAAGGTGGTGCTGTTGTTCCGTGAAGCACTCAAATTTTGTGCTGAAACTGCTCTGTAGAAACAAAGTCACCTCTGGATGGCCTTGCAGTGCCACTGTCAGCAGGCTGGGTAGTGACTGAGCTCCCAGGAGACTGCGTAGTTGTTCCATCAGATGGGGTCTCCTGGCTGGATGTGGGCGTCTCCTCTACAGGGCATATTATGAACCATCGCTTTCCTGTATGAAGAACTGCAAGAGTTCAAATCAAATTAACCACTTCTTTTTTACAAGTAAATGTGATATCGGCAAAAAGGATTTACTAGGCGTGCAGATGAATACATTTTTAAAGAAATAATTGCTTTACCATTCTGCTGGTAGACAGGCTGCGGTGCTCCAGGCTGCTGACTCTGTGGAGTGATAGTGACAGTTAAAAGCTAAGTCAGTTTGCCACTTGACACTATGTATTTATTCGTCTATGGCCATTTCCATGAGTATGTCTCTGTCCATGTCTAAATCTATGTATGAGCATGTGTAGTGTGTCAGTCAGACTATACTCATATCTATATCTATCCCCTTTTACCTCTCCTAGCAGCCCTTCAGAAATTTGGCATTGTTGAGGACTACAACTCAAGGTGGAGGCCCTTTCACCCTCCAAGTCTTCATTCAGCATGTCTTCAGCTTTATCCACAATGTCCTTTAGCTGGTCAATGAAGATCTCTTTCTCTAACAGCAGGATAAAGCCATTTTCTACCTGTAGGCATACAGTTTTGACGATGTTAAATGTAAGCAATTGATAACAAAAAAGGCAAACTGTTAAAAAGCCTAAACCAACCATGTAAGTAGCAATTTCCTCCGGAGCATCTCCATCCAGATCAAATTTAAATGTCACCATTTTGTGGTTGTGAGTCTCCAGCTGGCATTCCACCATTTTATCACCAGTGTTGCAAACCTGTGTGGGCAGGGGTTACACTTTACAATCAGACACATTAAGCTATTAATAAATTGTAAATTGTAACTTCAGTTGTCACACATTGACTCACATTGAGCATGCTCAGTTTGGGTTTGCTGGTCTTTTCTTGCCGGGAACGTGTGCGGGCAGACTTGCGGTGGTGTTTTCTGGGTTTTCCGTCCCCCTTCCCTCCGCTGGCCAGGCTCTCGTAGCCATCACTTGTTTCCTTACCAGATGCCACATCAGAGTTGAGACTATAAAGGGAAACGTTTAAAACAGTCTAGGCTGGTGACACGATTTCATCACACAAATTTATAAAGAGAATCTGTAAAGAGCTGAGAGTCAGTGAACAACGTGACACACACCTGTCATAGGCATAACTGGGTAAAGATGTGGGTTTGTCCTGAAGCACATCCTGAAGACAGAAAAAGTGGCAGGTGCAAAACAGTTAGGAGACCTAGTAAAGGTTTTATTTGACACAAAATGGATCATTGCAAGACTTGTGTTAGTGTTAATGTGTGCTAATTTATTTTGACCATAAAAGCATATTTTAATCTCAGGCGGAGAGGCTGGTTTCAGAGGCTGGAGGTATAAAACTGACGTGAACGTAATTTGAAAAGCAGCCTGTGGTTGGAACATGCTTTGTGAGTAACAATTAGATGTCAAAATGTGCAAACCTTGGCTTCATCCCTACCTCTAAAGAGGGCTCTTGTTGAAGGGTGCTAGATGCAGATGTCGACTCGAGGTTTTGCTGAGTTGTGGCCAGGTTGGCACACTCAGACAGTGAAACTGCTGTCTGGATGCCAGCAGGCTGCAGAACTGGAGCTGGGACTGAAACTGCGACAGGAGCTGGAGTATGAGCAGGGGCTGCAGATTGAACAGAGGATGGCAGCGTGACAGGGATTGGGGTAGAGGCTAAACCTGGGACTGAGAGTTTGGGTTTACCACTTGCAAGATTGTCTGAGCTCGTAGATGAGCTTCTTGGTGGTTCAAAAGTGGGACCTGATGCAGAGACTGGTGCTTGAACTGGGGCTGAGGCTAAAGCTTGCACTGCCATTGGAACAACAAGGGTTGAGGCTGATGTTTGAGGCATGGCTGCAGCTTGAGCTGTTACTGGGACTGGTGGTTGGTTTTGTGCTGCAACCAGAGTTGGAGTTTGTGCTGGGGCTTGAGTTTCGACATGGGCTGTAGCTGAGACTGAGATTGTAGCTGAGACTGGGATTGAGGCTGGGGCTGGGACTGGAGCTGCAACTGTAGGGGCTACAGTTAAGTCTAGGCTAGCTGCAGTAGTTTCCGCATCTACTCCACTTCCCCAGAGAGGAGTCTGAACAGCAGGCAAGACAGGGTGGACTGGAGCCAAAAGGTGAACATCTCCCAAATTCCCCTGTGGAGCAATCGTCTGCACCTGGAAAAAATAGCACATTGAGAGAATTCTTAATCAGTTAATACAAATATTGTTTATCTCTAAAACCCCAAACACATGCCCTGCATGCATTACACAAACAATTAAGACACATTGCCACCTTAGCACTACAGATTTCTCATGACCTAACCATTACAGTGAGAACTGAGTCACATATTCACCTGGACAGGCTGCTCAGCCAGTTCCTGCTCAGGGTGGGGGGCGGGGTATGGGGTGATTTGTACCTGGGAGAGAGGTAAGGGACGGGTGGTATGGAAGCTACCAAGGTTTGTCTGAGATGTAAAAGGGCCGCCCTGCTGCTGGGACACTGCAGGGGACATGGCCATGGCATGAAGTGGAATAGGGAGTGCCAAACTAGGCACGTGTTGAGGTGTGGACAGAGGGGTCTGAGGGGTGCCAAGAGTAGATTTAGAGGGAAAGGCAGCATGAGGGGTCAAAGGAAGGGAGGGGTGGTGGGGTGAATGTGAGTAGTGGGAGCTAGACAAAGGAGGGCCACTGCTGTAGGCACATGGCAAAGGACCTAGAGGTAAGGGAGGAGGCTTTATGCCCCCTGTTTGAGTAATGGAATATGGTGAGGGAAACTGGGAAAGAAAAAGGGAAAATGATATAAAATGAACAAAGACAACCAGTCGATAGAAATAGCATTCACACAGTCCCCTTTATGTATGACTCAACTCTGTAACCGATATTAACTTTTGTAGGATGTTTATATGAAATTTAGTCTCTACCTTAGTTTGATCTTTTGTTTCTAACGCACCTGTGTGCTGATCTGCAGGGGCAGGAGTGGGGGAGAAGCACTGGAGACTGACTGTGGGAAACTGGTAGGTAAGTCAGGAGGACTCAGGTGAGATGTAGGCTGGTCAGCAGATAACAGCTAAGAAAGGAAATCAAACATTTGTTTTTCACTTTGACTGGAAAGTATTAATTTTGTGATAGAAATACTAATTAATTCTAATTAAATTGACAAGATATTCTGGTCCAAAAGCTCCACTTGAATAAAAGTGAGCCGCAGGGCAGTTACACTCGATGTGATTCAACTTTTCTGTGTGGTTTGCAGTGTATGTACTGTAGCCCGCAGTAAGTTATGAGAGATGATGGCTCTACCTGGGGCAGGACACCAGCTGTTTGGAGATGGCACTAAAGAGAGGAAAGACAAATGGGAAGGAAACACAAACCACATGAAAAGCCATTCACATACACACACATACATATATACTGCACATGTTGATGATATACAGTTCACCATGAAGCATTTAAAAGGGGACACCAAGTGCACTTTTTACCCACCTCCCACACAGATGCCTAACAAATAGTGTGTTTTCAGATGGCTGGTGCCACTAAATTTCACATTCCTTTCCTGTTTGCCTCTTAACTATAACATACTTAAGAGTTGAGACCGAATGCACACGGTAGACTTGGTCATTCTCAATGTTATTCCAAACATAAAAAGTCATTGGAAACCAGCAACCAGCCACCCAAACACACTAACATGGTCTTGTCAGGCAGCTCTGACATGGCTGCGAGGGGTGACTTTCAAACTTTCTAATTTTGCTCTTTGTGTCTCACTACAGCTTTTGCCAGGGCCTGTCGCAGTTAGATGCATGCAGTACCTGCTCCTGGCTGGGTTGGGCAGTAAGCTGTGGCTGTGGAGTAGGGGCTGCAGCTGGGAAGTTCTGTGCTGTCTGTCTACTCTGGTGCACAATAGGGGCTGGCGTAGCCGGAGCAGAAACTGTCTGTCAGGAACACACGAGAGAGATCAATGGATCCTGCTTTTAGGTATTATATGACATGATCATGTTTGTATATTTGCTTCAAACAAAATCACACACACAAGGTTAAAATGTTCAGTGTGTCAAAGCGGGGGTAGTTATAAGCAATAAAGTAGTAAGGTTGGCAGGGATCAATAAGGCACACTAAAATGCGAAAGAGAAGTTATAGCGTTAATCTTTCGTCAGCCATACTGCCATACACTCTGCTAGCATATTATTTTGTAAGCTGGCACACTCTTCTGCTACGTTACAACCCAACCTATTATTTTGGATTTGGCAGGAGCAGAGAAGGGGCTGGCTTTGCTACCACCATGGAAAGGTCAGAGGAGCGAAGCAGCTGGCAATCCTGAAAGATACAGCAGGCTGCTGCTATGGCAGAACTAGAAAGAAGTCTACACAAAACCTACGTCTCTAACCTACCAGTGAATCTGGTCTGTCTTCACTGTTATATGGTGGTAAATACAGATTCCTGTCCAGATATGGGACATCAAGGCTCCTCCTCTTGTCTATATGCTCAACTACTGTGGAGGTAGTACCCCCAACCTCCCCGTGGCTGTGCATTGGATGATTAGAAGAGAGAGTGGGGGAACTGGTCCTGCGACTGACGATGTGATGTAGACAGTGGTTGAGAAGAGTGAGATCTCCACCTTCATACAAACTCCGTGGGAGCATAACTTGTGAGGGTGGGGAAAGATGTGAAGGTGAAGTCACCAGGGTTGGCTGAATGTTTGATGATGGGGAAGTGGGTGAAGCTAAAAGAGGAGATAGAGTGCTCCTTGCCAGATGAGGAGACGGGGGTGAGCCTGGTTTAGAGGCTGGATTAAACTGGGCGGACACGGAGAAAGAGTGCATATGTGTGTGTCCCAGAGATCTGCCTCCCTTTGTCCTATCCCCCAGGAGGAGAGACGTGCAAGCCTTGCAGTGGCGGTGGTGCTGTGGGCTGCGTGGGACACTCAGACGGACCTCTGAGGGAGGTTGTAAATTCAGGGGAAGGAGAGGTGAATTGAAATGACTTGCTGAGTCATGATGAGGAGATAATAATGATGGATTCTGGGCAGAGGTAGAGGACTGGTAGTCCGTGCCATGCACTGAGTTCTCTGTGCTATTTGTTGAAGCCAGATCCTGTGACGGACACACACAGGAGCTTGGATTCACTGTCTTAGTGAGACAGTGTGACCTACACCGTAACATCTCCACCAAGGAGGTGCTTCCACGCCTAAAACACACTGTGCTCTCAGCGCTGAGCAGGTTGTTATGGCATACAAAGGGATCACTGTAGTGACGCTGATCAGGTATCATTCCAAAAAAGAAAATAAAAATGTTGTTATGTCAGGAAACAACAACAACAGCAAAAAAAACGAAATGAAGGATTAATAAAGTTGCCACAGAAATAAGAAATGTTTTCACTCACTGTTTGAGACTGATAAGGCCCCTGGTGCAGTTGTGCAGCAGGCTGCTGATAGGCCCCAGGATGCAGCTGACCTGTGGTTTGCTGGTAGGGTCCCTGGTGTAATTGAGTGGATGCTTGAGTGTAGTTTTCATGTGAGGCCTGTGCTGTGGGTTGCTGGTAGGGCCCCTGGTGCAGTTGAGGGTCAGCCTGTGCAGGAGGACTGTAGATCATCTGAGCTGTGGAAATGGGCTCTGGAAGTGACTGGTAGGGGCCATTTTGCTGATTGTTTAGATCATCTAATTGCATGGCAGAGCTCACCCCACTGTCAGCTGTAAAAACAGAGTTAACAAAAAATTATAATTCACCACGATGCCCTGCAGGAAGGACAGACACTGAGGAAGGGCAGGGTGAGAAGTGGAGTAGCATCTTATTAAAATTCAAAAGCTGGGTGATGATATCTCGTTGATGACTAATAGGTGTTACTCACACACTGCAGTCGCCTTTTCTCTGTTTCTCTCTTACATTCACAAATACCAATTTAACCATTTTAAGTCATAGTCATAGTCATTTCCTGTTAATGGTTGAGTGATTGGTAGAGGTTGTATCATATACAATATATTCATGTGTGTTTCTAGTTGCAAGTTCTCACATGTGGCAGACGTGGTAGCTGGCACGGTGCAGATCAGGGTCTGCTGCTCCACCTCTTGATCCTCATAATCTGTCGTAGCTAATGTGGCTGCCTGTGGTACACTGGTACCGGGCACCTGCAGTAGGTTCTGCTGCGTCTTCTTCACAGCTGCCTCACCATTTCCTGGCGAGACAGTCCGCTCCCTCCTCCACTTGATAAGAGCCACGCGGTCCCGGATGGACTTCCCAACTATCTTCACATCGCAGTCCAAGAAAAAACCTGATTCCACCTGGTATAATAAATAAAAAATATCTCCATTAAATGTTTCCCTTGAACCACGAACAACTGCCTTTTCATGCCTTCTCATACGTTTGCATGAAAGAGCAAAAATCAACTGATCAGTTGCTCTAGTTTCAATCAATACAGTACAGTACATGCCTCAAGTTTATCCTTACAGACATGACCACTAACCAACTCGCAGTTACATTACACCTAATTAAAAGGGGCAGAGGTTGTGTTCCAAAGTAAAGATGACTGTGTTATTACAAGACACACATACAGGACATAAAGGAACCACCCACAGTATAGTGGAATGATACTACATAGGAAATATTCCACAACAAGTTGTCCTGATATATCAAAGCCATCTCGCATTACCTCCGCTACGTCACTGTGAATTGTTTTTTCTTTTGTTTTTTCAAAGATTTTTTGTGGCCTGTTTAATCCATTGTTAGGCCTGTTTTACCAATGAGAGTTAACTGGTGATGTAACAGAAAGCAGCAGTATTGTTGCTTTGGTTACCTGCACCTTAATTTTCCTTACTTTTAACTATTTTTAAAGTGTCAATAGATTTTAATAGACACCTGCCAGCCAATCAGAAAGGAGTGTTTTCCAAGGCTACAGCCGAGACAACAAATGAAGCCTGCTTGTGGAACACAAAGTACAATCTGACCAATACCAACAAAAGCCTAAAGGTCTAAAGAGAGCAGGTACATCCAAACCAGTCTAAAGAAAAGGGGATCAGTTATTTCCTTCAAAGACCTGATTAGCCTCTCATTGCTACCCAGTTAGTAAAACATAATAATAATAATAAAACTAAATACAATGATTCTTTCACTAACTCAATTACCATTTCTTGGGCAACGACTTCTGGGACCTCGCTCACTAAGTCAAAGGTAAACTCAATGGCACCAGTGTCCTTGTACTTCCCCTTCAGCTTTTTAGGATCCTCGACCCACAGCTTCAGAGCAATGGACGATTTCTTTCCATCATCCTCTTCATTGAGCTCCACCCTCACGCCTGTATCCTCCGCAAAGAATGCATGATTCAGGAGGTCCTTGATGGAGTACCTGCAGAAAATACACAAACAACAGCTACTGACCTGCACTAAAGGTCAGTATGACAGTAAAACCTAATGATGCACAACACACAGAAACATCAACTGTGCCAGAGCCAAATACTGGCATCAACGTCACAGAAACAAAACAACACGGTAAGGATCACCCTCTACCTACAAAATGTGTTACAAGCCCTGAGACACTGTCAAAGGTTCACTTACCTTTCTTCCCATCTGTGACAGATACATTCCCCGATTATTTCCTTAATTTCTGGGTCACTGACTTTACTGTAGCTAGCAGGTTTCACCCCCTGCAAAACAAACCAGCATGTCTCAACGCACCAACTGACTCAAAAAAATATTACTTAACGTGTGACTGCATAACAGGGGAAGTAAGTTCTGTCTGCAGTGTCAAAAAACATTAATTATAGTCTCTCCAAAACACATTTCTCCCAGACATCTCAAGTCTGGGGATTATTAAGCTACTGTTGTAAAAGAGGACTTTTGGAAGAGTTTGTTGAGTAATTAGTCATTCCAAAAAAGAATGGATTATAATTATGACTGATTAATTGTGGGGAAAATGCCAAACATTTGCTGGGTACATCAAAATTATGCAACCCCTGAAAAAATAAAATAACACATACTTCTTCTTACATGTTAAATCCCTAAGAAATAACTGTAATGTATTGCTGCTACAGCCTTACTTGCTATTGTATGACCATTAGCTTTGGTGGCTAATGTTAGCAACCTATGCATTAATATCCCTGAGTTAGTTCTCTGACTTTATGACTCTTCTGTAACATTTAGCATTTTAGCTAGCATTTGGCATATTAGCTAAGTGACATTTTAACCAGAGTTTAGCATTTAGCATTATTCCTTCACTGTCACTTTGTGGCTGCAAAAGTAAAAAAATTAACAAATGATTAACAATGATTTTAAAAATATATATATAAATTATCTTATTGTCACAAAAAAATAAGAATGAAAAAGAAATGTGTGGTCTTCAAAAATGACTTGAAACTGTCATAAAAACTGTTTAGCAAATCTCACACTTGTGACTTTGCGGTAGATCTGAGCAGCATTTTGACACTCAGAATAGGGGTATTCTGAGGTGGCCATCTCCAGCATACACATTCCAAAGGCGTAGACATCCACAGCCTCATCATAGTGCTCCTCATACATCTCTGGGGCCATGAACTCTGGAGTGCCTGCAGAATTCATGCAAGAGAGGGAAATTAATCATAAACTCACATCCAGCGTGCTTCATCCTGTTTCTGTGGGATCAGTGCCAGTTTCAAGTACTGAAATCCAACACAGCTGCTTAAGATGCTAAAGAATTGTCTAATCACTCAAATGACACAAATTTCTTACATTTATTCAAAATAAAACACACAAATGTTGGATGTTCTGTGCAACTTTAACACAATAATATGATATTACTCTTTCACAAAAATATGTGTTGAGTCATGATTCTTTAGCCTTAAACTATTTGAGCTAACTTTGACCAATCATTTATTGATTTTCAAGATTAAACACTATGTACAAATACAGGCTGTGACTATGTATATATTGGCTGTCAGTTGCCAAGATTGTGTACCTGGAAGGATCTAGTCACTGCTGACATACCGAGCTAGTACCATTTCAAATGGCCTATCGGAAAACAAATTTTAAACCCACCCAAGTTTATCACAATTTAGAGTTTAAAGCAGCTATGGTCAATATTTCTCTATTAACAACTGCTCCCATGACATTGGACTTAAATTCTTCAGGTTACCAGAATCACAATTCCAAATGAATGATAATGTTGCTCTGTGTCTGCTGGGTGCATGAACCAAGTTTGCTTTTAAAAGGTAATATGTCAGCGTGTGTTCACGATCAGTGTTCACTGTTTCCCCTGAGGGCCCAAAAAATCTGCAATTGCAGGTTTGAAATAAATATTCTGTTAGTCACAATTCAATAAAACAGAGTCTTGTCAACTAGCTGATAACTAACCAATAACACTTTTGGCAAAGGAGGCCCTCTTCAGTGTTGCCAAGCCCAGGTCTCCTATTTTGACAGAGCCTGTAGGACCAGTGATGAAGATGTTGTCACACTTCAGGTCTCTGTGGATGATTGGAGGAGTCCTTGTGTGGAGGAAGTGGAGGCCTTTGAGAATCTGCCTGCACCAGCTTCTGAGAACTTTAGGCTTCATCACCTTAAAACGCTTCAGATACCTACAGGAGGATAAATATACCATGATTGAGATGTTCCAGTTGTCCCTAGGTAAAGGCATTCGCTTTTTAAAACACACTGAAAGGTAAAAGACAAATTGTTGTATGAACGTTTTTTCCTACTAGTCTCTGTGTTGTGTTGCTTATTGCTATTCCATTCATCAAGCATCAGCTGTAAACGCACACACAGTCAATATGAATCTCTGATCAAACTAATCTCCTCTGCCAAAAAACTTTGTTTTCCCATAACTGTACATTTAATCAATCAATTAGGTTTTGAGCAAGAAAAACAAAATGAAATTTTTTAAGATGAACAATATCTTGGAGTTTCAGTCTCTCTAACGGTCTAGCATTAGATGCACTGTAATGGTCTCATTGAATGGGTATGAAACTTGATACACATGATGTAGACAGTCTAATGGTCATTACTGTAAGGTTGTCTTAAACTGACTAATAGAAGCAGTAATAAGAGATTGATATTTGCATCTTATGATCATTGATTTACAGTCAAGTATAAAGTACGCATATGAGCTAAGATGGAGATACAGAGATATCTCAAACACACCAATAAGGTTAAAAAAAATTTTACTCACGTTTTTAGTGTCCCTGAGGTCATTAACTCTGTCACCAGAACAATACACTTCTTCCCTTTAACCGGTGATTCCCAGAAGTCATAAAATCGCACGATGTTGGGGTGCTGGAGAGCCTTTAACATCTCTGCCTCCTCCTTGAACCTCTGTCTCTCAGCTTTGGACAGTTTCCGTTCCTAGGGAAAATGGAGGAAGACAATTCATTTTCAAAAATGAGATGTAATCGCCCACTCAATTTTTTTTCAGTATTCTGGAGCATTATCAAAGGAGAAGCTCCAGCAGTGGTCAATTTATCTAAATTTAACAAGTTTGAGGGGTAGTGGAGGAGGAAGGAGGGGCTGAATCATAATCATTTTCAGTGTTTTTCTTATATAAAGTGGTGATAGAAGAGATACACCAGTAGTCTGGTATTGCTTCAGGAGTGTTAGAACTTCCTGTAGCTCATGTTTAGGGTGAACACAACTATGGCATTTTGAGTGGGTAAACATGGGGGTCTAAACCATTTACCCTTTACATCACTACTGTGTATAAAACACACAGCTCACAACTACGAGTGGAATCCTGGCTACGTTTCCAGAGGAAGTAAAAGCCTTATTTAATCTGGTGTTGTGATACAAAGACACATCTGTCATGACAGATAAACAAAATATTACATTGCATTTTTAATCAGTAAATGTCACGTGGCGGAAAAAAATTAAAAAGACCATTAAGAGTTTATAATGCCGGGCTGGAGATAAATTATTTTCTCATGGCCCAAAGAATCAAGACCATCAAGAAAAACTATCTTTGATATAGTTTCTGTGTACAGTTCTTCAGAGTTAAAATATTACATCTTTGGGTGTACAAGCCTGAGTGAATCTGTGTATACTAGATCAATATTTTGGCCCCTGCCTTCCCTGAACTGTTGTATAAATAGTAAAACAGCTGACAACGATCATCCTCTACATTTCTGTTTCTCTCCAGTCAGCATGACAAATACAACCCAGTGGCTTCAGCCACGACAAATGCTACATGACCTCCAGATTTTTCTCTCCTGTTGTCTTGATATACACATGTTAATGATAGTGATGAGGGTGCATTTAGTGTTTTAAATGAACTCAATAACCCACTGTACATCTCAACATTGATTATTGACTGGTGCTGGGGAATCAGATTTCATTCACAGCCCATCGCAACCTATGCAGTGTGCAGCCTAATGCGTCTTAGATTACGTACAGCCCTGTGAAGGATACACCTTATGCTTTACCTACCTTTCATAATTCTGATTCTTAATGAGAACAAATATTACAGTTTGCTTCATCTCTCTGTCCATATTGTCCAGTTTTCTAAGGCAGTTTACATACAGATCTTTCACATTTCTTTTTCAGAGAGAGGATCTAAGCAGGGTGTGGCACTTACAAGACAGAATCTGAATGAAAAATGAGTAAGAAAACCCATTAGCAGCACCGATATTTGTATCTAATGGGCTGTGCAGTGCTGAGGACACAATGCTGCAATTCATTTAAATATAGAACTCTTGTTTTGCTGTGTATCAAATACTACATGTCTTACATGCTGTCCTTAGCTGAACCCACCCTTTCCCTCTCTCCTCGCTCTCTGTCTTGGTGCAGAGGCCTGCATCAGCAGGATTCACTCTCCAGACGCATCTGTGTGGTACAGTAATACCACAGGGATATAAATCCATGTTTAGCATTCATTACTAAGCAATCAAAAAAGTCACATAATAACGTAATAATAATAATAACAGTGAGACGCAATTCTCAAAGTGCTAGTGTTTTGGCATTTTACTAAATGTTGCATCATTTGCTAACAACTTGCTCTGTTCGATCATCATTCAGTGGATAAATACAGTAACAGTCTGGTTTGCTCGATATCCAGGCACCAGCTCTTCTTCAAATCTGATTTATAAATCTTTTGTTTGAGTGAATATGTTTTCTGCTGTCTCACTCTTAGTCTTACACACACACACACACAGCATACAGACAGTGAAGGCACACAATTTGAGTTGCAGTGGCTTTTTCTGAGCCCACAGACACAGAAGCTCTGAAGGGCAAGGCCTCTCCTCCAGGGACAGAATGGTTGAATCATCACTAGATCTCCCCTAAGAACCACCTGCTCAGACACACAAATACATGCACACTGCACACATGATGTCAAGATCATCATGCATGATATATGCCATCTGTCCTCTTCAATTACTGATGTAGAAGTGTTCAAAAATACCAGTAGTTTGGTTCTCTATTTACAGATGACAATAAAAATATTAATTCCTAATGAAGACTAAAGTTATTTTTTTACTCCTATTGTATATAAGCAATATAGAACATTATTTAATACTGTGTTATTAAACTGAAGTTACAAAAGCAGAGATCCAATGCTGAAAAGTGGGATGTAACCAAGAGATGATGTATTACCCTGTGTGCAATCAATTGGGGGCTCATTTTGTTAATTCCCGCAAAGATTAATTGAAGTTCCACATCCCAATGGGCTTCTTTACATCTAGATTATGGAGCTAACATTAACAAAACTTCAGTTTCCTTGCCGCACTAGAATCCAACAAAAGCTGTGAGATAAGTACAACCTAATAGTGATTTAAGTCTATGTCTGAACCTGTTTAAGTTGGCCTGAAAGGGTGAACCTGGATTCTCAAAGAGCAGGAAGACAAAATAACCATCAGTTCTATTTGCTCTGAAGCCACACTAAACCTATGAACTCATGCTGCAGGGCTGTGCTTCGAAGTCACAAACGTTATTCTCATCATGTTCATAAAATGATGTTGAGGTGCTGATTCAGCCTGAAACGGACAGATTTTTTTGCTCCTAGAAAGAGTTAACCCCAATATACAAATATCCGCCAGTACATTGCCTACAACAGGAAAGCAGTTAATCAAAGTTTGGTCAAATTATTTGCTGAAAAGTTTTTAACTTAGTTGGTTGTTTAAATACTTAAAGCAGTACAATAAACATTCCTTTCCAGGAACTCATATTGTAAGATGTTAATTATCTGTTAAATCAGTGCCTCCAATTCCCAAGGAAATTAAGAAATGTTCCTCACATATCAGAAACTTTAAAAAGGAGACACACTAATGAAACCTAACTGTGTGCATGTGTCCACAGTGTGTTCTGTTTAAAAACCAGGTGACTGTGCGTCTGTTTTTATTGGAGAATACTGTATAAAGGTATTTATTTGCTCTGGACAGACTGCAAAAGCTTAGCACATTTTGAGCCTTGAAAGGGCAACCACTGTCTACAAGTCTGTCTGCAGGTTAATCTGTATATCACATGGATAGCATTTAAACTGATCATTAGATTACCACATACACAGATTAGAGATACAGTAAGCGCTCACTGGTATGAAGCTTTGTGTTTATATTAACCCCCTGCTAAAATTCAGACTAATTACAGTGTCTACAGTTCATCTGCTCACACTGTGCATAAGGACTGAAAACTGTTCAGGTGCAAGAGCAGAATGATTGAAATATAATTAAATTATAATTCAAATCAAGACGAAAAGGAGAATACATAGAAAATGATGATGATATTTAGGCTAAGAGTTATGAGAGGGAAAGTTGGTATGAGTGCTGACAAAACGACGGACTGAATGGCTGACACTCCCTGTAACAATACTCAGATTATTTTCCTTCGTTCCACGGTGGGAACATTTCAGTGATGGCTCATTAACACAAACGTTATGGAAAACAGAATGGGGTAACAAAGTATCTTATCTTCGTGCTGTACGGCGTTACACCTCAGCAATATGAGATCATAAAAACAATAGAACAGAATATTCTTTTGATAAAAATACTATCATCAATAAAGTATGTAACACAAATGTCTGTATAACTGCTGACTATCTAATCTATTTGAGTCGGTCCCTGGATGACAAATGGCTGAACCTAGTAAGAGAGGAAAAACAAAAGAAAACAAATGATAATACAAATAAAATCTGACAATAATCCATATTCATCCTGCATGTTAAGGCTCCTATACGCAGGTGTAAAGAGCCATGGACCCTTCATTAACAATGTTTTACCTGAGAGACCCTGGCATTTGTTAGGTGTCTGGATAGATGACCAGAAGACAAATGTACACATATCACCGTTACAGCTTCAATGAATGAATGAAGTTACTAGAGCTTTTCTGAGGAAACATAATAAACCCAGAAAGATCCAGATGTTGGTATACTGTGCATAAGGCTGCACCCTGACCAAGGATTCACTTTCTGGGCTATATCCCAGACAACAGGCCTATTATGGCGGATTGAGGTTGCACTTGGATGATCTATCAACCCACCTGGAGTTCACACCATGCCACTTCGACCCAGGTGTCGGTGTCAAGACCTTTATAGACGGTCTTGAAGGACCCTCTTCCCAGCTCTATGTCAAACTTGAGGAAGCGGCCCCCAGGTGAGGTGGACACAGCCTTCATCCCGGGCTCCTCTTCGTTCTCGTCACTTCCTGCTTTACCTGTGACATCCGAGGGCACGACCTCTGCCTTTGGCTCGGTTTCGCTTCTCTCCCCCTTCTCCCCATCGGTGCTCACGCTCTCAGTGGCGCTGTCCTTCAGCCCCACCTGGCTTTCCGGGCTCGAAGTCTCCCGGAGGCCCAGCCGGGTTCCGTGCAGAGCCCGGGTCAGACTCCGATCGACGATGGTCCTCAGGTCTATGGTGAGCACCGGGCTGCTGATGACACACTCCGCCGTGTCCACCGGCTGCTCCTCGGAGTCTGACACCCATAAGTTGCGCCGGATGAACCTCTGGCGGATCAGCCCCTGGTAGTCTGTGGACGGGTACGCGCTGGGGTCACTCGCTCCTCGCAGGGCTGCGTTTTGGATGTTGACATTGTGGTCCGTCCCGTTCTCATAAACAGGCCTATGGGCATTTGCATTAATGTCCGAGTCTAAATTGGGTGCTGAGGAAAACGTGGATCCCAGTGGCGGATCTTTTCTTGAATCGTCCGCCGAATCCATCCTCAGTACCTTGTTAAACACTTAGCAGCGACATTGTGTGGGGGTGATGATGAGCATGCTGCTCTCCCGGTGGTGGTGGTGGTGGGAGAGAGTTGGCTGCCTACCTGCAACACTCGCATGCAGTGACGCAGTTCGCCAGCTCGGGGTGTATGGCCTTATAATGCCTTGAATTTGTTTAGGACACACAGCATCCCCCACAAAATGTCCAGCTCGGAGGATGCGCGCATTGCTCCCTGCCGCCACCTCACGCCCCGGTCCACCTTGCTGCAATACAGCACAGAGCTATATTCAAGTTAAGCCTGATGTCATTGCCAGTTCAACCTATGAGCTCACGGAGACAGTTTCCTCCACATATTGCATAATGTCCCTGCTCCGGCGCATGATAGAGTGTGAAAATTGTTATTTGTTCCGCAGATAAATCAGTGGCCTCCTGCGGACAGGCCAGGATGTTTAGGCTGTTCCGCGCATTAATCCCCCCAAAGACACATCACGGGACGACCAAGTGCGCAGCTGTCATCCCCCTGTAAAGACTCGGCTACCCGGGCTCTGGTTGATGCAAATAAATCGCAGGTGTTCCGGGTAAAAAATCTGAATAAGTTCCCAGAAGTGTGAGCTCAGCTTCTCTGCATTGCTCCTTTAACTATATCCGCACGTACTTATGTCTCCCCTCCATGCCGTTGTCCTGGAGCGGAGCGCAGGATGGACAGAAGCGCTTATCAGATTATGCCCACTGCGGCACAGTTTCCCTTCAGGTTGGAGCAGGCGGCTCCCGGCGCATCTCTTATCCAGCTGATACGGCTCTTGTCTTAATCTCTTTCAGGTTTTGAGAAAACTAGAATATTTCACGGCACAACCCACGCCCCTAGCAACAACACGTACCCAATAAGTCGGCACGCTTTTAGGCGGCACCCTCAGCCTCTCCTGACACAGGCTGTGTGGACCACACCACTGTCCGCCCTCATCGTGACGCGCTAAGCTTCCAATCGGAAGATGTCTGCTAAAACCTGCCAACCAAAAGGGATGCTGCTGGGAATTATGGGCTACCGGATAAGACGCACAGGACCGCATCTTAATGTCCATCCACATGGGCCGGTGCAAGGAGGCTGGGCAGGAAGGCTGTCTAAGTTACATGCTTTACCTGGTATTATTCTGCGTTTCACTGCATGCCGTGTTTTCAGTCAGTCTGTGTTTTATTCCTGTATTACATTATTATTATTATTACAGAAGAGGGCTTTTTGTGTCCATTTTAGAGGTAGTTATAGTTTATTAAATCGCTGCACACGTGCTGCGTGTTGTCTGCCCCTATATATCCCATTTTACATAATTCCATGTGAGTTACTATGTGAAATTAATTAATTTAACATTTTAAAGGCTACCTTCAGATCTTATTATAACAAGGAAAACAAGAAAAAAGTCCGTTTAGAAAAGGGACATAAGACCTGTTAGACTGTCACATTTTTAATGTGGTCATTTTAATGTAACATAAGCCAGTTTGATTATGTATTCATTATATAATTATGATTATGTCATCACTAAAGATGCAGATAAACCCACAAAGACTTGAGTAAAAGTGCCTTGTACCCTGCATCACTCCCTTTAATATATTCAAAAGTTCAAATACTGAAGGAGTTTCCACTAATGTAAAAAGAAAATATAGTTTATCATATGAATTATAATTTCTAATTCTGATAACAACATTTCCTCTCTGCATAATGAAGAAAGGTGATAATTAAATCTATAAAGTAGGATTGTGTTGTCTAAAAACCTTCCTCAGTTGCAGTCAGGGTGGTTTTGGTTAGTGACAATGTAGTGATGCAAGTATTGATATGTTTTTTTCCCTGTTGTGTACTGCACTATAGTACACAATAGATAAAGTAAATACATGGAATAAATAGCTGTTTTTAGAATTATGGCTGACACAAAGGTCAGAGATGGAGGTTAGGGGCCATATTGTCATTCTCTGCCCTGTTTTAGACTTTAGACACATTTATTTATTTAGACTATTTTTACTTGTTGTTTCATTGATTTGTTTTATATCACAGACTCATACAATTTTAAGTGAGGGAAAAGAGATGCTAGGGACAAAAACCAAGAGGTCAAAATTCTCTCTTAAAGTCTCACAGTTTTACTCCTTTTCTTCAACTTCAAGGATGAAGTTAAATTTTATGGGGTCAAGCTTTTTCCAAACAACGTCTGCCCAGATCTCCAGGGAAACAGTGGAAATAATAGGAACCAGTTGGTGGGCGCAGTTTACAATGTGAAACCATGAATGGGACTATTGGTGTGTCTGGCAATCCTTTTCACTGGGTCTTCTTTTCTAGTGACACTAAACCTTGTGTGTTTCACTGGAGACCTTTTCAGTGTCCATACAGCAGTTTTTTGCTTTGTCAACTTTGCTTGAAATTCATGTAATCTTAAAGGATATGACACACAGTTTTAGTAACATACTTGTAATACTATTACCAGTCATTACCACTCATACAAGCTTTTTATCTGTAGTATTACGTATGATTGACAAGAAAAATAATATGAATTATGGTGGTTTAATTATTAATCTCTGAATATCTTGTGGTTGAAGTAAGAAGTACTTTAGTGTAGAGACGAAGCCATCCTATAATTCACTATAGCCTACTATATATATATATATCTCCGGTTATGATCAATTTATCTATTAATTTACTTCATTCTGCTCAGTAGACTTACTTTTGGTGTTACTCAAGTAAGTGGGGACCTGCTCAAGTGCCGTAGACCCCCCATGGGTCCTGGAGGTCTCAGACTGCCATGTGCTAATTAATATCTTTTGTAATAGGCACCACCAAAGCACAAAACCCTGAAATAGTGTGGGGCCCTAATGGGCTCTTATATAGAGCTCTGTAACACATTCTAGTAGCTTTCATTATGTTTACACGGTGAATCTCCTTAAGACACATAACATTGTGGTTATACCAGCATTAATCCACACGGTGGCAGTAGAGTCACGTCTGTCAGTGAGTAGCTATGACTGCAGTCCAAATGAACACATATACATTACATCATACTTTCAGTTTAAATGTGGTAAATAACCCCATTATTGTGACTCTGGAGAGCAGCCTCAGATGCTTTCACTTCTCCTGCTGGTCACACGCTCTGTGAGGACAGCCACCCCCATGTTGAGGGGCGGTAGTCTGGAGGTTTTGCCCCCTCTTGTCGTCACAGCAGTCCTTTATAAACAGTCTGTGCCTGCCTCCGCCGGCTGGACCACCAACTTTTGTGTGTGTGTGTGTGTGTTGAAGCTCACACTACATATGACCGACGAACTTGTGGATATAACGCGGTTATGAACAAGATGGCAACGGAAAACTTGGAAATGAACGGTGATGCTGACCGAAACGGCGAGGCTGAGGTACGTGAAGGCAGCACCCGGTGCCCGGTACAGAGGGAAGCGTTTACAGCTTCTTGTTCAGTAATGTTAAACCACCACTTATATCGTGGTCCGGCTCGGCCACGGGGCGGTAAATCCCCCTCAGACATACTCAAAGTAAGGTCATGAGATACTCGCCGGTTAAAGCACATTAAACTGACGGTTGCCGGGGTTTTCATCCCTCTGTCTCTCATCCATTCACACACCTCTTGTTGGGTGTTAGCCGTCGACACTGAACACTGTGGAGGATTCTGACTTCATTAAGATAATGTGACCGGCTAGTTTCGGATTAGCTCCTCGTTTCAGGGGGGCTGATTTGAAAAAACATGTTTCACTAGTTCACGAAGTAAGTCCCGGTGTAGTGTTGTTTCTGTTCTGTTATTTACAGTACAAAGGGTTTGGTTTACACACAATGGCCGTGTGTGCAGCTGAAGTGTACCATCATGGTCTGTGTAAAGGAATCCAGATTGGGTCCTCTTCAGACCAGAGTCCAGAACCGGGTTATGATTTGATCGCGTTAAAACACGGAAGTATTGGGGTCACTTTCAATGATGCAAATATATGCAAAGGACAGCTTGTGTTTAAGACCTGGTTCTTTATGTGGCTTTACAGTTTGTGATGTTTTTATCAAAAAAGGGGAAGTGGGCTCGCCCTTCTGTAATTGAGGATTAACTGCGTTCAGTTTAAAGCTAATGAGTTACAATCCCTAACAGGTGTTAGTTTGTGATACATTAGTATCAGTATTTACCACCTCAACCACTTTATATACAGTAAACGTGTGTGTGTGTGTGTAATTTGATCTGTTTAGGGTTCTGCAGTATAATTAGGTTTAAAATAACGGTACGGGTCCTTCATTAAAGGTAATTATCCAAACCAGTGGACTAACCATTTCGTTGTCAGTTTTTTAAAGGGTCTTTTTGTAGTTTCTGTGCACTATAGTTGTTATTACTCGATTAACTGATTAGTCAAGTTACAAAATTAATCTACAACTATTTTAATGGTTGATTCATTATTGAAGTGATTTTATAACATTTTAAATTCTCTGTATTTTATATAATTTTAGATGGATTCACTTTCGACAATTTAATCTGTAGTTGGACAAAGGAAACAATTTAGTTCTTTTAATATACTAAACAATTAACCAAAAAATAATATCTGAAACAGATGAAATTAAAATATAATAGTAAATTCCAGATCAAATGTGGAATAGCTTTAGGTAATGTGACTAATCAAACTATTTATTTTATACATATTATCACTAATTGCTTGTTCTTGGTAGCAACCGTCTACAATAAATGACAAAACAGATCAATATTACAGTGATGTAGAGTATGTCAACTCAAAAATACATCATACATACAGTAAGGATGTATGTCAAAGCTTTCTGTCCGACAAACTAGAAACAATAATAGTGAAGACATCAATGGAAATTACTTATAGGACTCAAAATCACATAAAACTGCCTCAGTGGACTTTCCAGGCCAACAACCAGCAACACTTCCAAGGTAAGAAGACAAAGAAGACAAGACAAAACCTCCTCTCAGAAACCTCAGCACACACGGATGAAGAAGAGAGAAGAAAAGGAAATACAGAGAGAGATCCCCACTACTTGGAAATGTCGGGGTGTGAAGGAAGCCGTGGGTGGGTTGAAGGCGCTTACAAAAAAACTGAAAAAGAAGTCCCAGTATAAGAAGGGAGAGTGAAAGATGCAGCTGGTGACAGTGAGTGACTCTCACACTCCCCTGCTGGTCTACCACAGGACCACCATTTTCCTCTGTGGCCTGGCAGGTTTTCAGAGGTGAAGAGAGAGAAATGCTGAGCTGAACCTCAGCGTATGACGTTGCCCACCTGGGCACAAGGGCGGCATTGTTGGACCCTCCGCTCCACCCAGATGAAACCCTGAGCACTAAACTAAACTCATACGAAGAAAAACAGGGGTCTCGACAGCGACCCTGGTTTCCTGTGATGTTTTATACGTTTTAAATTAATCATTGACCACACATAACTAAGACAGACACTTTTTTTTTAGCTGATCCGCAAAGAGGAAGGACATTGATTCCTCGACACGACCTGTTCCTGGACAGATTAGTCGGTCAATTTGAGTGTTGTTAATGGCACATGTCATTTCACAACACTGAGCCTGATTAATGTTAAACGTGCGTGCTTTTACGTGTACTGTGTATGATGTATTTGTGACTTGTACTGCTCAGGTCTTCACTCAGTTTTTCCACTGCTTCTGGGTGTTGGCCAATCCAACAATGGCTGACCAGGTCATTACCAGGATGTGACCAGAATGTGGCTTGACAAATTATTTTTGACCTTTGGACTGAAACCAATTCAGTGGCCGTGCTAAGTCATGGGTGTTCCTGTTTCAATTCAGCCACTGACCATTTTCACTTCCATTAATATCTTTCACAGCAAAGAGGGAGATTTTAGTGTTGGCAAAAACAAATCCCCCCAAAAATGCAGCAACAGCGTGTATATTCTGAAAGAGTTCAAATGTACTTTCCCGTCAGCCAGTCACATATTTACTTGGAATCCAATCTGCTGGCAGCAGTACAGTGCTTTCATTTTGTCCATGTTAATGTTATCACTACATTCACGAGCAGCCATTTACATGTCATACTGATGTTTGTGTTGGTGTTCAGGTCCCGCTGCGAGGCCGCTTCAGGAGGCAACAGGGGCCTCTGAACATGAACCATTACGCCAATAAGAAGAGCGCGGCAGAGAGCATGCTGGATGTGGCTCTGCTGATGGCTAATGCCTCGCAGCTGAAGGCCGTGCTGGCGCAAGGACCAGACTTCACCTTCTATGTGCCCCTTATTACTCTCATTAGCATCTCGCTCATCCTGCAGATCGTGGTGGGAGTTCTGCTCATCTTCATAGGTATGTTTGGAGTTAGTCTCATAGTTTATATTAGTCAAACTCTGCTGTTGGATTGCTAGCAGTCAAATGAGAAGATTTAAAGTCATAATAATAATAATAATAATAATAATGTATTGTTTTGGTCACTTACTGCACAAAACATAATGTTGCTGTCCTCTACTGCAAAAGTGTGTAGATATAAGTATAATATATATTACATCATGTATATTAATATAAGTATATGTGATATTATGTATGTTTAATTTACTGTCCTCTGCTTACTTTGTTCAGACTAGCTAAATGTGTTGTTTATACATTTTTTCAAGTCTTTTCTACAAATTTACAAACCTGAGAAATGTACAAACCTGAATTTCTCATGCAGTTTTTTTCACAGGTTTACAACCACAGGCCATGAAATCATTCAGGCACATTATCATTGCTCAAGCTTGAGTTCCTATTCACGCTTATTTGGACACATAAATCTGAGAGCACACCTTTTTATTTATTATATAAAACGCTGATGACTAATGTATTGGATTGTAAGCTTGTCTTTCCATACGTTAGGGTGCTCCCTGGCTATCCTTATCTTATCCTAACAGAGAAAACTATTGTCATAGAGAGCTGCGTTTACAGAGCCACAACAGGAAGAAACGCCTCTGCTGCTGTTTCCAGTTTTAAAGAGCCATAGGAGATTTGCCAAACTACAAAATATGGACATCCTGTCTGCCTTAGACCCTCTCAGACCAGCGAGACATGTCCTAATAGAGGGAGAAGCTTAATATTCACCTATGAGCAGTGCTGTCAGCTGCTTTTACTTCTTTCAATGTTCACCTGATAGGAACCCCCGTGCTGCTCCCTTGTGGGGATAGGAGGTAACTCCTACTGACGAGGCAAAACTCAGTAATGCCTTTTGTTGTTTCATTTTTCTTTTGACAGTGAAGTGGAACCTGAATGACGAAAGCATGCACTACAAGCTGAACATCTTGGAAAACATCGCCACAGCCTTTGTCTTTATCATAGTCGTGGTCAACGTCTTCATCACAGCCTTTGGTGTGCAGCGACCAAACCAAAGTTCTTGATTTTACATGATGACTCTCCCTGAGTGATGATCAACTTAGTAAAGATGGACCTCTGCGTTACTGGTGCAAGTGGACAGGACTTTTATTTATTCACCAAACTAAATGGCACACGTTTGCCATTCTGTAATACAACCTCCCACGCATGCCACTTGATACCCTGAGGATCAGATTACATTGTGTGTGAGTATGTGTGTGAGAGTGTGTGTTAGAGGGGTTCACTATATCTCTAACCATGGCTATGGACAACGTTTGGACAATCTTTCTTTCATGTGTAAATTCCCCTGTTTACTTACAATATTCAGGTTACTGATGCAACTAAATGGTTGCCTTTTCTAACATAACAAACATATCAGGAGCAACGTACTGTGATGTCAGTCACAAACATTGTGAATGTTTCCTAAAGAAAAAGACATTCTACTGTTATTTTAGTATCTGTCAGTCTAAGCTCAATGTATGCTAATATCTTTAGAACAAAAGAACACCTAATAACCTGATAACCTTATCACCACAGCGTAATCCAAATGACATTCTTAATAGTCAGAATCAGGAGCCATCTTGGCCTCCTGTTGCTCCTGTGGCTTTACATGATACAGCAGCTTTATTATGGGAGCAAAGGTTCTGTTTACAGTGTTATAAACCTCAACCAAGCAATGAAGTGGACCTTACATGCTTTGTTTCTTTAAGTGCTATACAAAGTCTAGTGTGATGTGTAAACAGATGTATATATTAGTTCATGTCTATAAGTGTTTGTGGAGTAGTATGTGGTTATTTTTTATGCTTTTTTTTTTTAAATGGACCAACTATTTTCACAGCTTTTACTATATGATCTTGAATTACACACTGTATTTTAAATAAAATGATAAATGAAACAAAAAAAGGTGATAAGATGTGTTTATTGTCCTGTTTATTCTCTTTAGTCTCAATCTTACAAATTCTGGCACTTCTACATTTAAGGCAGCTTTTACGCAGCACAGTACACACAGAATGTGACAGGCTGTCAGGCACTGGACCTCAAGGACATCAAATCATCAGAAATGTCAATGTTTCCTTTTAGAAAGACGTTACACAATAGTTGAGAACAAGGAATAACAACAAATAGGCCTACATGCAAGTTGAATAACTGTTTTCAGGTGTTGGTGTTGGCATCTGAAATCCTTGAGTTTAACCACCATAACACGTGAAAACACAGTTTAACAAAGCACCATAATGATAGTTACTGTTAATGTTCTCTGTTAAACATTTTTAATGAAGTTGTTTACAAAACAGCCTGAGAAATATTATAAAATTGTACCTGTCATGTTGTGGTAAATTCACTTACTGCCAGACTTTGTACTTAAAATAGGTTCATCAGAAATCCACACAGAGCCGGCAAAAAGGCACAGAAAGAACAACAAATATCCAAACAAGGGGGTAGAATTCATAAACATTTACATATATTTTACTTTAACTCTAATATTTCTGTAAGACAGACTGCAGACCAAATCACATGCTAAGGGGACTTAGGAAAAATAAAGTTCTCCGTCCTGCCCGACCCAGCGGAAACAATTACATGGGAAAGTATTTGGGCATACTTCCGGTCTTGAAGTACACGGTGAAAACGGGAGACAAGTAAATAAAGTTAAGAGAGAGATATATATAAAGTAACAGTAAGGCGTCGTTGATAGTATAAAACACAAGAAAAAAATTTGGTTAGAGATGCCACGAAGTAAGTGGCAATGCCTTAACCGTATATGTGTTGAAGGCCACTGGGGCCAATTCCATCCTTGTCAAGGGGAGTGCTAACCTTCTCTCCTTTCATACAACACAACTACAAACAGGAAGCCATCAGCTTATATACCCAGCGAGTGGGCCGCTTCGTTTCACTTACGGTGCCATTTACGGGCTTAGAAGTATTACATTTATGAAACACAACTCTTGTAGCTTTCAAATAATCGGCATTATCGGTGTTTACGCTTTATTATTACGTTTCTTTATTACGCGTTTGTATATTTTGGCTCGGTTTTAACTGTACCCATGATGCACTGCGCTGGAAGAGCGAAATGTCATTGGTAGGAACAATCACGTGATTGCAAGAGTCGCTATTAACTCGTTTAAAATAACATAAGAACACAAAAGAGCCACATTATTTCTGGCTAAATTAATTATTTATCTCTTTTTTGTCTAAATGTGAGCAACAGAACTTCGGGAGGTTCTTATTAAACCAACACAAGCCAGCCTGTGTTTGGTGATGTAAGTTAGTTCACTGTTGACCACTCGAGGGCGGTTGTGCTCTACTTACAGCTTGGCCACACGGACGGCAAAGACTCTGAGGAGCACATTAAAGTATACCGGTGTCTTAACATGCTTCACATCAGGGAAGGAATCTTAATTATTCATTATCCAAATAAATGTTTACAGCTCAGCACACTGCAAAGAGAAGAGTAAATATAACAAATCTGGCTTGAATGTTGTAAGTAAACAAATAAAAATGCAGGCTGCTCTGTGCATTAATGGATTATGTTTTTTTTTACTATGGCTGCAAAATGCACTGATGAATTGGAGGCTTTTTTAAATGATGGAAAATGTAGGCTTATCCTATGTAGTTAAGGATGTACCTCCAAGTGTAATTTAAATCATTAATTTAATTCATTTAAAATGCCTAATTTTTCACTAATGCAGTCAATATTTTCCTTTTTTGTCTGTAAAAGGTGCTTTATGCTGCATAATTTGAAGACAATAGCAAAACAAATTGTTTAATCATCTTGTTTTTGATTTTACTGTGATCATCCCTCGAGTGTAATCAATCCCTTTAACCCACTTAAATAGGTCTCAACATATGAGAGCAAAGTGCCAAATGCAGCTCTGAATTTCCCCCTATCTTTCTCATTTAGATCACAGGCAAAATATTATATACAACTGTGTACAAAATTAGTATTCAACTCTTGAAAAGATATATCGTGTTGTGCTTTGGTACAAATAGCATTCATGAGAATGAGTACTGCTAGAGCACGTGGTGTGAAGGAGTGACCCTTTACTTCATGAGGCTTTCTTCAGTGTACCATATGAGAACCTCCTGAGCCTTTCTTTTCAAACCCAGAGCAGCCATCCCAAGGGCCCGGCTACCTCCTGTTCCTTTAGACTCTGAAGAACACAAGACAAGCATGCATGCAGTCAAGTATATACATACATAAACAGGTTAGCTAGCTAATAATACTGACAATCTAGAATTATCACAATGTCAGGTGAAAAACTGGAAAGCTACTTACCACTGTAGTAATAGAATAAAGCCATTCCCACTGCGACGCTGAAACAGCCCAGAAAGAAAAGGGGACCTGGAAAGAGGTAAACAGATATCAACACAAACGTAATTATCTTGTGTGATTGTCAGTGTTAAATAACTTCCTGAAACACTTCTCACCTGGAAAATGTTTAATTCACACTGACTATAAGAAGAAGATTGACTTTATTAATGCCCAATGAGAATTCTTTGTTTCACTCCATTTTTTACATACACACATTGGCCCAAAAACTATTAAGCTATTCCAAATTTAGTAATTTATAAAGGTCATCACTAAATCATCTACCAATTACTTTATGATTTTGTTGCCTAACATTTAAGAGTAGCAGTTTTTACATGAACACTGACATAGATTTCACATTAATATCTTACCTCTGTCGTTCAGAACATATTTCTGATGGTAGATACGTGCGAGTGGACCTAAGTAATCTGGATACAGGACAGATGAATTTTAGCGTGTGCAAGAAAATGTAGAATATACTAGAATACACAAATATGTATAATCCAAACTGTAATACCCAATTAATGAATAACTATCTGTAACTGGGATTACAGATCATATACAGAAGCGGTATTTGGGGACTAACCTCTGAGGCGGAGCCGTGTGGGCAAGCTGTAATATACCTCCTCTACATGCAAATGAAGAGCTCTGTAAAACTCCCGGCACGCTTCCTCTCCTTTCGCCTGCAGGTGTGTCAGGAGCTCACCCACTCGGACACTTGTGGGCACGTCCAAGTTTCGGAACTGAATAACAATTAAAGAAGTTAAAATTAGATATTTGTGATCCCCAAATGGAAATGTTCTTTCCCGAGGCGCTTGCTGACACAGCTTGTCCGGGCAAAAATGGATCTCCACTGGAATTATTTTAGAAATGATTTTAATTCATTCATATTACAGTGTTTTAACCACAGCCACTGTTCAGGGCCAGAAGACCCATTGAGCTAAATGTATGAAGCCTATAGAGGAAATCTTTTTAGATACATTGATATAACTAAAAGTAGATTGACTCAAGCAATGGAATAAAAGTACAACTATTTGTACTTTCCTTGAGTATTTTGCTTTTATTCTACTTCAATCTTTTATTCCAATTGAGGCAGAAATAATGTATTACTTACTCAATTACATTTATCTCAGAGCTTTAGTGTTTAATTGCCCTTCAGATGAAGACTTTTTAAGACATGTAATGAGTTTATAAAATGTGACGCATTATAGATTAATCTACAACACATACACACCCACAGCACCAGTAATCATATTCAAGTATTATATGATAACATGACATTCTGCAACAATCCTTTTCATTCATAAGGACATGTATGTAAAATAGTTTTAGATATATTGTTCATATTAATTTGACATGATTTCTCCCACCACTGCATGCGTGAGACCCAGACAGTGGAGTACTCTGTATAAAGGACTTACTTTGGTGGCCTCCTTGTCTGTGAGGATCTGCGGGTAGATCCTGTTGAGCTGCAGGATAAGTTTGTCCACCAGCTCCGTGTCCAGTCTCCGGTCAGCTTTGAGGAAGGCGCTGTCCTCTATCAGCTGATCACGAAAGCCGTCTGTCCATAGAAACAGAGAGGTTTTAAGTATAAACGATACTCTTGCACACACTGTCTGATAACAGGCTCGCCTTTGCATTGGAAACGTCAGTGTACAGTAGCAACATCATTGCAGGCTACAGAGTGGACATTTGACATTATGTGCAGTCTGTCCTCCTAACTGAGGAGGGGGAGCACGGGGGTATGTTTCGAGAAAAAACCCCACATGGTATATAACTTATATTTACTATACTATGTTTAGGGCGAATTGAAAAGTACTGTCTCTTTCTAGTGTCAGACGGGTGAACAAACTTTTGAGAAAGCTCAACAGGACTTGAGACGTTACATTGTCATTGACAAAGCGAGGCTACTGTTCACGTCGGAAGTGTTAGTGCTGCGGGAATGTTCGTGAGTTGGCTCTAACGTGGAGGCATTCAATAAGCGAGGCAGAAGTAAACTATCATGTTAAAATAAGAGTTATTTGTAGTGAAAGAAACACACGAACCTCCCATTGTGGAGTCCCCTTCTGTCCTTCGTTTGGACACGCCCTCTTACGTCAACGCGCCGGTAGGGAGTGACTTACGTCAACGTCTGCTTCCAAAAAGGGAAAAACAAAAACTTTCCTTTACACCGGAAATGGAAACAAATGTGGCAAATGCTAAACTAGGGAATAACAGCTACTGACCCTGATTAATTAATCTGAATCTGTTTATAAGTAGGGCTAAATACATTCTAATGTAACAGTAAATGTTGGATTGTAATTCTCAGAAATTATATGGGTACTTTTTTTTTTATCCTACCTAATAAAACCATGTCTGTTTATCAGAATATGATCTATCCATGTATCCTTTAAGACTAAACAACAACCTGTATGTGCATTCAGTGTGCATTACTGTAAAATAACAGGTTTTTTAAAGTCCCTTCAACAAATTTATTCTACTTATTGTGTATATTGTTACAATTATTGTTAGGTATGAGGTCTAAATTGATTGTATTGCTTATTTATATAAATTAATAAGCAATATAATATATAAATTAATATAGAATTTGGAATGTTTGCATGCACAATGAACCTTGTATTTAGCTGCTGAAGGTTACAGAAAAAAATAATACAAGTAACACCAACACCCGCCCCACAGAACAAGTTACACAAGTCCATAAATGCATGCACAATCAACTTTGTATTTAGCTGCTGAAGGATGTTACAGAAAAAAATAATACAAGCAACACCAACACCCGCCCCACAGAACAAGTTACACAAGTCCATAAATGAAAATGTTATCTATCTTTTAAAGTTCTCAACAGTTAAAAACAAATACTTTGGAATGGCAACTCGTAATTTATCGAATACGATTGAAAAAGAACAAAGAACTCAGTATTGTGAAAGTTAGATTTATTTCTTCACCAGCCACAGCTGTCAGCAGAGATAGTAGCCCACAGAAATGAATCTTGCTAGTGTATTACCATAAGTTCAGTCGTGTCAATATTCTAATCGATATTTTGACCAGCCACCTTCACTCAACCTCCCTTATGAAACAAAAAGGATGATGACATCCTGCAGTCTGAACAGTGTCAAATAAATACAATTGCAGTTATAGTAAAACATATAAAATCAATTAGGACCAAGTATGTGAGCAACAATGTGTAAAATATTACATAGCATAAACATTTAGTTTTTTTTCTTGTCATGTTGGTAAATTGCACTTATAAACAGAGTAATGTCACTGCAAGCTTGTTTGCAGACGACACTTTAGGACTAAACAGGTTTAAAAAAAAAAGTTGTATTAAAACAATTACATTTAAAACTCTCCTTCATGAATAAAGTTTATGAATACTATTAACATCTGACCTTAACTTAGAAATATTTAAATAACCTTTTCATCAATACTCTTCTTTAGTCATAACAAGCATACTTGAATTTGTAACAGCTTTGCCATGTCAACAGAGGACGAGCCCAATTATTCAAAATCTAGTTAAGATCCTGAATTTGAAGCTCCATATTTCTAGGATCATATAGTGTAAATTGTTATCAAAACTCTTGATAACTTTGACAGCTTGTTCCTCTGAGCTGTCAGAAAGGCACCACTAAATCTAAGGCCAAATGGAAAAACAACTAAGGCAGAAAACCTTTGTCTCTTGTATGATTTCAACCAGAGAGTTAAAAGTTCTGGTTTTAAAATAATTCCCACATAATCTCTGGTTTTGTTGCTATGAAATAAATATGGATAACAACATGTTGAATCACTTTAAAATGTCATCAAGACATTGGCAGACAAACATGCACATTCGGTAAAAACAACGTATAATACTTGAAACAATTAGTATGATTTTAGAAAGAAAAAAGGAATCACCTAAGAGCAAATAAGTAAAAACAAAAAGTGCTCAGTCAGGGTAACACAGGCGACGAGAAATCAGCAAAACAGCCATCTTGATTCTTCCTCTGGTTCAGTAACAATAGTGGTGTATATTGTTGGAAGACTGAAGGACTGCACTGGGCAGCTGATGCAATGAGTCATTCTTTCTGCAGTCAAAAGGTTCGACAGGATTTTGCATACTGGATTTGGCACTCTAAAACAAGGCCCTTGGCGAATACTGTTGTAGGTTCTTGTTGTTATCAATAACATGATTTGGACCGTGATTAGATAGCGAAGGAACCACGAGCTCAGGTGATTGGCAACTGTCACAGACACTCTGACGGACCTCCTTAAGGACACTTGGCATGATAGAGTTACTGCAAATGGAAAGATAAGACAGAAGAGAATCACATTAAATTGATTATTGATTGATTGGTGACATTTCAATTTCCACTTCATTAGTGAGATGGAGTTCATTAATGAAGTTAGCAGTTAGGAAAGTTAGATGCTTGCAGGAAGCAGAGTACAGGGAGTGTTATAGTCATCTCAGTTTTCCTTCAAACAGTTTATGAATTTTAAGCTGGTTTACGTCGGCATACAAGAGTGAGGTAAAAACTTTCATTTATTTGATACAGAAAATATAGAATAATATAGTGTCTTATTTGTGACAGAAAAACAGGTAACAAGTAAAAACTGAACATATTAACAGACAGTTTTTGTTTCTTGGTTTGTCTTTGGTACTGAACCTACAGGAAATTCACATTTGTTTATTTGTTTATCGCTATCTCACAAGCTGTTTCGGACCAGTGAGAGAAAAATAATCTTTTATGGTTTGTAATGGAAGCAGATGTCAGTTGAATTAAAATTAGCATATACGTTTACAGTTTCATGTTGTTCACAGGCCAAATAATGATATAAATATCACAGAGAAAATAAGACTTGAGGCTTGGGAGACTCGTGCCTTCTTTGTGCCAACTGAACGGATTGTGCATATTAATTTACCATGAAAATAACAATTGTTTTTATACAAGGAAATTCACAGCACAAACAAAAGGACTGCTCCACCAGTCATTCAACATTGTGAGTACCGTGTACTGTTAACAGTAAAGAAGTATTAAGTAGTAATAATGGCAGTAATGTCACATACTGTGTATATATAGCTATAATACCGAACAGCGTAGTGTTAGAAAACATGAATGAATGCAAATCTCGCAGAAATAGAAGTTTAAAAAGGCCACATAACAACCTGCAGAGGAACCCAGGGCCTCCGCTGGTGCTTTGTGGCTCAGGGTTGGTTTTGCAGTACATCCTCTGACTTACATGATGGCTGGAAGAGGCTCCCTTGCCCTTCGTTTTGCCCTTGCCTTCCAGCGCTGAGGCACTTTTGCGACGTGCCTGCTCATGGTCAAACTCCAAGTCCTCCAGGCGCTGTGTTAAGGCCAGTTTCTGCTGAATGGCCATACGTAACAGAGAATTCAGGGTCTTCTTTTCATCCTCAGCAGCAGCCAGCTGCCTCTGCATGTCATCCAGCTGGGTCACATACTCATCACACCTGAGAGAAAGAGAGGAGGGGAGGTAGAGAAGAGCAATAGAGGGGGAAAGGAAAGCAAGAAACAAGAGATCAACATTATTTCCAGCAGGTGGAGCAATTTGCCTTGAGTCACTGCTGCTGTCACATGTTTTCTCCATTCCCCAGACAGCATTTTCCAGATGGGAGGATGAGATCTCTGCTAGCTGACTCGCTGAAGTATTACATCAGACAGTTCCCACAATGCTTTGTGTCTTTCTCACAAACATATACGGACACTTGCACAAAAGTTGTGTGTGCAGAATAATTCTTTTTTCACTACTAGGTAAAGATGCTGGATATAAATACATATACCTTTTTGTGATATATATATATACACACACATATGTTTAATGTAATAGATACAGTACAATTATCATGTGAGCCTTGGACCACCAGGATGCCACATGATAGTCCATTTAATGTTTGGAGGAGTGAAATGTAAACCAGTGATTCCCTATAATCATACCTTGTAGCAAACATGGCTCGAAGAGAGGAGAACGTAGCAGCATCCTCTTTCAGGGCCTTGAGTTCATTGCGGAGCTTCATCATTGTCTCAGTCACCATGCCCTTCTCACTGTCATACTTACTCTTCAGATTGGCAAGAGCAACCTCCGCTGTCTAAAAGGGAATAAGATTGTACATAATTATTTGTTTCTTACACTTTCAAGTTTAAATTCAGTGGTTATTTTAAGCTGAAGCCAATTATACTTTTCTGTTGTATTTGCACAGTTTGAGAAACAATGAACATCCTTCCTCTGAGAAAACATACACAGCAGGCATGCATACACACACACACACACACACACACACATGTATGCACACACATGTAGACACGCTCAGAGCGGGTCTTCTGACCTGTTTGTTGGCCTTGAGCACAGCTCTGAGAGTGGCGATCTGTTCCCTTTTGGTGCTAAGCAGGGACTTCAGTTTGAGGATCTCATTCATGCAAGCCTCCTTGTCCTTGTCTGCTACTGTGCTCAGCTCCAGATTGGCAAGTCTCTGACGTGACAGGTCTGTGGTGCGGTCCACTGCCTGCTGCAGATGGCGGATCTGGTCTCTGATGATGGCTACGAGGTTATAGATGTTCATGGGTTCTGGCCGGTGCTCTGGAGCAACTGTGGTGCTGCTGGAGTCTGACTTTTTAAGTTCAGTCTCAGTGATCAGCCCATTAGTGAGAAGTACATTAGACTGCTGCTCCTTCCCTTCTTGCCCTCTTTTTATGATGGCCTTGCCTTGCTTGTAGTAGTCGAGCATGACGCGGTTAGGGGTCTCATTGTTGCACATACACACGTGGTTGTAGAGATTGGCCAGCTCTTCACTGAAAGTTATGAGCTCATCCTGGGCCACATTAAGGCTGCCAAGCGATTCTCCTGCTGCCTCACTGACCAGACGGAGCTCCTTCTCCAGACGAGTCACCTCCGCTTTATCTGCTTGGCTAATCTTCTCCAGGGACGCCAACCTTGACCTCAAGTCCTGGACGTCGCTGTCCAGCCGCGCTCGCTCATCTTCGTACTGGGTTCGACACTCATCGTACTTTGCCCTCAGACTCTTCAGCTCCTGCCTCAACTCCCCAGCTTCAGACACCGCCACGGTGTATTTACACTGCAGAATCTCAGGTCCGTTGATGTCCAGCTCGTA